TAAATTAAACGCCAGCTATTAATGTCAACTCTAAATAAAGTATTTGAGCAGATACATCAACGCTAGGGGTACGGGAGTCGAAGGAACTCGAGGCCGCTCCGCGCGGGTCGCTGGATCGCCTCCTGAGACCATTTCTGTAACTTTGCTGGTCCTCCAATATCGGACAGTGGTATGCGGGAGTAAAATTCTGCTATAGGTTTACTTTTCTTTAAATAAAGTTCCGTTCATCTTAATAATATAAATAGATATTGGTTCTCATGAAACTCTTGGTATATGACTGTAAGCAGCCATTATAAAATAAATTCCTTTTTCTTTGTGTTGCTCAAAATGTTTATCATCATTATGTTTCCTCATTATTTTCCTAATGATTGAAGTAAATTCTTTGTACATTTCTCTCAATAATGATTGCTTTCTATAATATGAAGAAGGCATAACAAATTGAACTATAATTTTATGAGAGTATTTATTCTACAGAAGAGAACACATTTTATATTCATGTTGTTTGTAAAGCTTCTTTTTTTTTAATGAGAAAACGAACAAAAACTGAAATGTTGACATAATTTAAGATTTCACTGGTTTGGGAGGCATGTTAAAACAAACTTTCTTTCATTCCCCGATTTTCTTATTACCATGACTCTTCTAAACATAATCATAAACATAAGTTTTCCATCGTTTGTAGTTTGCACAGCTTTGAAAACACTTAAAAGTATAGTAGTGAACAGAGACGTATTTAGAATAAAACAAAGTATGCTGTCTGAACGCATGTATTTTCTCAGAGACCCATCAAAATAATAGTCAACAAAAGAACTCGACACTTATTTAAAGAGATTTCCCCTTCTTTAAAATGTCTGTGATAAAAATAAAAAGGGTATGTTGTAGAATACCCAGCTCAAATAAATCACTTTAATAGTCCAATGTTCGACAAAGATCAACAAAAGTAAATTGCCTGAAAATATTGGTGTCTCATCTAAACACACTGTCCCAAACCAAACCCCATCCTCACATCACGAAACTCGACACAAGTTTGAAAGAGATTTCTGTCGCCACCACTCTATAATAGCAGTCATTTTCATTGTCATTCCCGGTGCTGTATGACGTGAGAACAAGACGCGTAGATGAGTGGATGGAACTACATGCCGATGATAATGCGACAGTTTTCCCCCATGGCATCCGAACCCAATACGTGGGGCTGAGTGAGAAGTGCCAACCGTTCAAGGGGACTATAGGTCGTCTTACAAGACAAGTTATTGCTCGGTATCACTTCCAGAACAAACTTTGTGTTTCTTGCGACTGGTTTATGATAACAGGATAATAGAAGATTAAGTAAGGCGAAGAGCAATGTTGTATCTTGAGAGTGAAACAAAACAATAGATTAAAATATTGCGAGGGGAAATCATTCATGATTTTGGTCCAACCAATAAAAACCAAATAAGAATTTTAGCTCATTGTTGTTTGTTTTCTTCTCTCTTTTTCTCTTTGTTTTTCTTGGTTTGGGGGTCATTTCGCATGACATGACATAAAATCAATCTCATATGGAATGAATTGATATGAATATCATGTTAAATATGAATGGTATCTGGAGCCATGATGGCCATCTATATACATGTACCATCAGTGACAGATTTCGGGGAAGATATTCTTTTTAAATCAGTGGTACCTCCTGAGACGGACATAATATGATTTTTGTTTTCTTACTGAGGATTCAGAGATACATTCTGAAGCACTTTTGTGCTGCATTATTTTGAGGATTCGGGAATAAAAGTTATATATTATAATGGCGCCTTGTAAAAAAAAGCTTTTCTAATGTTGTTGATTTCAACCGTGGAGAGTGCATGGCGTCAAAATCTATAACATTTTCATACACAATTATATGATACAGTTTACATGGCACACGACTGTGTATAATGTTAACTTATTTTTATTCTTCTCTATGGATAGCCAAAACGATGGCAACCTTATTTTCTTGTGACGTGGATGTGGTATTTTATAATTTTGATCAGTTATCATCAACAAAAAAGACTTTGACTGTAATTATCAATTATTTTTAGACCGAAATTTAAAGTTTGCTAAGATGATATGATGTGATTTTTGCAACATCACAAGATATAGGCTTTTATGACCACATAATCAGAGAAAATTTGGTTGTAATTGTTTGATAAATTTAAATAAAGTAGAAATTGTTGGAAAGGAAGCCTTCGGAGGGGGGGGGGGATTATGACACTTTTAAAATCTTTTACAGTAAATAATCATCTTTATCTTGAATTATGGTCGTGAAACATAGGCCTATAAAAATGTTTCTGAGAATAAGAATTCGTGGTTATAGTAAACAGAGGTCTGTTATTATGACATGAAATGAAAGGAAACAAACTATATACGATCCATAGTGACAAATGATTTTTAATAAATTGTTTTTATTCGGTTTTGGGTAATTAACTGTACTAGGAAATCCGTTTCTCTTTTCTTTTCCGTTTCTCTTTTCTTTTCCGTTTCTTTTGAAGAAAAAAAGACCAGCCTATTTAGACAATTCTGTCTCGTTTGTGAAAAAAGGAAGGCATATCAATTTCTCTCAGGAAAAAATGCAACGGATAACCAAAGTTGCATTCCACGACAGTGTGCTAATGTTGATTACACACAGCGGCGCTGAGTCGGAACGCCAGACGTGACTTAGCGATGACATACGCCAGAGACCCGGCGTGGACGCAAGGCAGAGTATCGATGACTGCCCGACTAGCTACTCGTAGCATTTGATGACATAGGCTCATGCATAAGAATGGACATAAGAGTCATTTGGGGTCGAAAGGTTGAAAAGCTGGAAGTATCGAATATTTATTATCGTCATTACTTATCTCTTTATCCATCTTTTTGCGGCTCTACAGAATACTGTTTTCTAGATGTGTATTTTATACTACGACTTGCAGCTGCAGCAAAACCAAAGTATCATTGATGCCCTTAATAATCAAAAGTTTATGTCGCCCAAAAAGGCCTGATCGGTGTTTTAGAGTTTGTCCATTTGATGTTTAGGCCTACAAGAATCAATATATTCTTCAATGAAATAACGAAAAACCCTACTAGTAACTGCAAGGCTATAAAAATCATTTAAGGGAAGAAATACAGTGACATGCATAAGCCTTAATGACCATTTTTTATTGACGAAGTTAGTCAAAACAGTTGATCGCATTAATGTTCCAGGACTTGATTTATCCGGGTAATAATGGGCGTCGATTAGTTTCTTTTGTTTTGTATAGAAATTGTAAGTATTTAAATACAAGTCACAAAAGTCGGTTCCCCCTGAAGTACAAGAATGGGCCTAGTTTATACTCTATAAACTGTATATCTGTTTACAAAGACATAATAAAAGTAGGTAATTATCATGATGATTCAAATAGATCCGATGATATTGCCTATATAATTTATAGCCCAATCATAATACATTTCAATACATCATGTTCATTGCATTTTTGTAATAGCACAAATCTTATACATGCCTCAAGAAATAAGGATCTGCCTCTTGTGGGAAAAAAAAATCTATGATTAACAATTTTGTAGAGCTGGTATTGAATTGTGAACACTCACCACTATTCAATTCTGATCGATCATACTAAAATCCATGAAAATAACTAGGCGGGGACGGGAACGGGGCTGGGGGTTATAGACCTCGGGATATTTTTATATTTCTAATTTCGAGCAGCCGCCGCCTCATGTTCGGGCAGCGACGTTGGTCTTTTTGTAGTTTTCATATTTTGTATAACGATTACGAAATTAGAGGTTGCCACTACATGACTGATTAAAGTAAGTGTCAAAAGTTTGCTCGTTCGTTTCGTTCACCCGCTCACAAAATACACATGTATATTCTAGAAAGATGATCTTTAGGCAAGAAACGTCAGTTCTTGCTAAAAAAAAGTGCCCTTTTCTGGAGGGGGTGGGGCTTATGTATACTGGAAGTATGCATAATATGTGTCCCATATCATGAAAATTCGATCGCAACGAATGACATTAAAAAGAGAACTATTATGAGTATAAAAGGGGGTACCTTGACCTTACCCTTCTATCAAGTGTTGCTGCGGCGTTGCTGCGGGTCGCATTCTAGATGGCGCTCTTCAATGTGTTAGGATGAGCTCTGAGAGGTTATTTCTCAGTTACAAAAAAGACTCTTGCTGATAGTGATACAGTCGAAGAGGTATTTATGTCCCCGTCAATCCCCCCCCCCCCCCTTCAATGTTTTTTTCTTGAGGGTTAAGGTCATCTTACTTCTGTGGCATAGCTGATTTTTTTTTATTATTTATTAGGCCAAACAATGATAGGTTCTATTTGCAGCACGGACAAATACAAAAGGATAGCACTAGTAATTTAGGAAAGCACCTGGAAAATCCTGTAAATATCTCACTCTCACTCTCTCTCTCTCTCTCTCTCTCTCTCTCTCTCTCTCACCTCTCTCTCGCTCTCCCTCCCCCCTTCCCTCCGACAAAAAAAATCCTATATTTAGAGGATCCTACCTTATTTCATATTTTTGCGAAATGGATATGGCGCTTTACAAAATAATATTTTAATTTCATACGTCCGATGCAGCCAATTGATGAATTTCTGCAGTTCTTGTTTGTCGCCCTCTGATGATAAGTTTAGCCCTCCATTTCGGTAAGCAGTAGCTGTAGTCAGTAGAGGCATATTCAATCCAAATTTTAGAGAAAATCCCTAAACCTTACCCTACCTGATGCATAGAGTGTGTTTGCAAATTAAACAAATTAGCTACCGTAGCTAAATACGTTGTTGCTATTTTTAGAAATATGCCTCTATTACAGATCAAAATAATGACTACTCAATATTTCTGCCATAATTATGATCGAGCACCAATATTGTACACCACTTCACTAATTGTATGTATATAAACAATTAATGTTGGAGATATCGAGACAGATTCCTCTATGAATCATATTTAAAGCAAAAAGCAAGTACATGTACACAAACTACACATGGTTCCAAATGACAGACACATCAAAAAAAAATTGAATTAATTAATATCTGTATTCTTTCATGATTATAAAATTCTCAATATAACATGATCGCATAAACTTGAAAACAAAAAAGACTTTTGTTTGCTTCTTTCATAACTTCATAAGTTTATCAAAAGTAATGGCAATTTCACATTGTGGTATATACATGGACAGTACCAATATAAAATTAGTGAAATGTTAAACATTAAATATACATATTTTAATTATCATATAAACAGTTCTTTAAATGAAATATACTACATGATATATATGCATTTAGTGATTCTGTTTACCATAATAATTTATTCATACATGAATTGGAATAATATCTCATCATAATTATACATTCATAAATATATGTATTTTTCTAAAGATTAATAAATATCTAAGTTGGAAGCACACAATAAATTGTTTTTCATTAGAAGTGTACAAGAAAATAATTCATCTCTACACAATTACCAAGCTTAGTTTTGTGCAAGTTGTGACTTTGGTCTTCAAAATTACATGATTCTTTTCAAGCTATTCCTGTTTTAGGAGTATTTCTTTTAAAAATTTCACATTCATCTAAGTTAAGTTGTAAGAAGCATTTCTCAAATTGCTTTGCAACATCATACATTTAAATGTACATATCTGTACATGTATAAAACTATGCAATTACAGGTCCATAGGTTTGAACACTTGACTTGACTGGAATGGATAAAACTGTGGTTTCAAACCTTGTCAAGGTAACACTGTCCTTTAGAAAGACTTTTATCTCGACCCATTAAAGTAAATGTATAAAGGTACTGGTGGGGGAAATAATTGTTGAATTCTAAAGCACCCTAATAACAGCCATGCTAAAACTATGGTAATACTGGAGCATTGCAAGTGCTCAGAACTACATTTTGTACAGAAACCTCCTATTATCACCACTAGAATCACAACCTACTATTAAAATATATTTATTTTCTTTAAAAATAATTAAAAAACAACCCTTCCTATTTTTTCCAAAACATGCCTGTTTCGTACCTCTGGAAGACATCACATTAAAATATATAGACTATACACATTTTTTTCTTTCAAATTCTTCATGTCATGATCATGCCAATGTACTAAAAAGTCTAGTTTTCTGAGTCCCCAATTCACGATTTTTTATTTTCATTTTATAAGACAGGTTCTAGAATCTAAGCAATCCGGTTGGTCAATTGACATCACATGGGCGTGCATTTATTTTCCCACCATACAAAACATCTTCCATCAAAAATTGATAACGGATGCTCAATATCTGCTAATATCACTTTCAAGTTTGCATAATTCAGCCAAATTTAATTTGTGCCTAATTTTCAACTGTTAGCCTACGTCTTTGTGCACATATGAAGTGTTCAGCAAGTTTAAATTTAACAGCCTAACATTAGAACTAACTTGGAAGGATAAAGGATTACTGTAATTGGTCGAAATGGTGAGTAAAAATCATCTGTATAATGTCCAACTTCTCCATCTTTCTAATATTCAATCAGTCCTACTCTTTCTCTTCTTTTTTCCTTTGGTTGGTTAACTTTGATGAGATTCTATTTTTTTAAATATTAATCATTGTTTACAGAGTCACTGAATATGGCAGTCTTACAAACAAAGGCATATTCATAATCAAATAGTATTATTATAACACATAATAAACAATGATAATATTAACGATTCACCTAGCACATAAATGTTATCGTGATGCATACATTCAAGAGGTATATTGATTTGGTTAGCAAGGCACTTAGAATACGTCCACCAAAATCAAAATAAAAATCTGAGGTATTTCTGTAGAAATCATGTAAAAGCCAATGCTTTACAAAAATCTTTCAAAAATGCTGTTATTTCAACTCCCTACATCTCTGATTACATATCATTACATCTGTTTGATATCAAAGGCAACCCATCTCTAGTCAGTAGCACCATGTCTATAATGGCCACATGTCATGTCTTCCCGGCATAAGAGGGCTGTAAATGCAGGTTTGGCAGTAGACATCATGGCCAATGCCATTTCACATAAATATGAATATAATAAGTGTAATGGATTCTCTGGTTCTTGGAAGGTCTGGGGTACCGAATGACAGACCCTGCATTTTCTTTACTCCAACGATCCTTCACAGACCTTTGATGTATGCCACTGCTGGTTGTCTGCACACTTCAGACAACTCTAGAATATTTGAGGGGTATCAGTCAGACATTCTGAAGATATTCTCTCACACACCTTTGTTTGGTATGCCACTGTTGGTTCTTTGCAAACTTCATGGAACTCTGGAATGTTTTGAGGGTATAAATATAGACTGTATAGATCCATCGTATGACAGACTTCTTTCTAGGAACATCTCTCGCAGAACTCTTTGGTATATCATTGTCGGTTCGTATCAAACTTCATAAAATCTCTGGAATGTTTGAGGGTAAGGACAGACTTCCTTCTAAATTGACCTCTCACAGACCTTTGTTGTATGTCACGGTCGCTTCCTTGCAAAGTTCCTGTATCTCAGGCTCAAGTTTAGAGGTAGATATCTGTTTGAAAATGACATAGGAAAAAAATATTACATAAATAGTCCTTGCAAAAGGTTCACCATACAATATCAACAGTGCACGCACCGACAAGTTCTGGATTTCTCAAATAAGTTTCCTGAATCGATATGCATTTGAAGATGAATACAAATTTCAAGATAACTTGTAGGCCTTCCCATTTAATGTATTATCAAGCAAATGTCATTTGAAAATAGCAAGTTTTCAAGTGACCATTACAAAATGGATAAAACATTACAAAATCTGGAATAAATATTATAAATTATAAAAGAAATAGACACTACTTTACTCTCATTTTTACTCTATATTTATTCTACTTTTTAAAATCTATTTCTATATACAAATTATTGGTATAACAATTGGCAATAAAAAGTTTAATTTTCTCTTTTTTATTAGAAAACAGTAATGCCAATTTGATGATGAAGAGGTGATTCAGTAGCCTTCCAAATTCCCTGCAAGCTACATGTTGTTTGACTTACATGGCTGGTCTGAGGGAAGATGCTGATGGCGAGTGGTAAGGCAAAGGCAAAGGCAGCGGTTGCAACAAAGGCCTGGACGGGAAGATTCAGACGGGGGTAGCGCTTCAGAAGGGAAGTCCTAGAAGAAAGCAGAGAGAAGAATAAACAGATGCAAGAGTGTGAAAATCAGACCGGAGATAGGCATCCTGACAGCTGTTCACATTCATGAAAAAGGAAAAATGAAGAGGTTGGCTGTCACTTCTGGGCCCCATTCCATAGAGTTTGTAAGGAGTAACAACTGCAAGACTTATGATACAACCTATTTCATTCTCAAACAATTTGTATTTAATGTTTCACATATTCAAGTTCATTTTTATATGTACATTGTAAATGTTATAACCTGTTTTTGTTTTTACTGAATTTGAAATAAAATCAATCAATCAATCAATCAATCAATCAAAAAACAATATGCTCACAGCCAATCAAATGCTAGGATATGATCGTGTTTTGTTATTATCAATACAAGTTTTATGAAATAGGGCCCATGGTCCCATCTTATAATGAGTAATGACTGATTTAAACTGATCTGAACTTGAAATCGATGCAACTGTGCATTTATAATACATGAGATTGTACATTTAGTTTGATTGTAGGACTTATGATTATCAATTCAGATCAATCGCAACTCTTTATAAGACAGGGACTGGAATGACAAGTGAAAAGATTAAGGTCAGCTTCGAGAGAGAGAAATACTGAAGGGAGATTCTTCCTTAAACAGGTTATAGATTGAGTAGGTAATATATATCATATCAACTTGCCAAAATATGCTGGTTCTCTAATAAACCAACACCCCCTCTTGCCCCCAAAATTGGCAAATAGATTAACACAAACAGAATCAACAAAACTGGTGCTTTTTCCATTCAAAGTGTTTTTTACAAGCATTTAATTTTTGTGAATTTAAAGAAATATAAAGCAGAAAAGTTATTGGGGTACTTACTTGTTTTCAATGAGCGTCATCACAATGGGAGGTATTAACAGCAGTGGAGCAGGAAGAAAAGCTCTTGTCATCGCTGTCTCTAAAAGTGCCTGAGAAGTTGAAAGAAAAGTGCATGAAAACTAATAGTTTGCCTCGTATTCATGTTGTGGACTTCACTGAGTTCTTTGAAGAAATTGGCAAAACAACCAGCAAATAGGCTATGACTACATTTATTTAAAAAAAAACACATCTGAAATATTTAACTATTCATTGAAGGGTATTTTTTCAGCTGAGAGAACATATCTCTAGAGGGTGTATACATGTTACAATTTAGAATGATCCTTGCCGCCCCTTTTGTAGTTTTATGATATGATTGGTCTGTGTTCTTAATCTATTGCGCCAGATTTCGCAGCAAGTCCATTTGCGATTGGATCAAAGAATTATATAATAATTGAGTGTCTCAATATCTACAAACGGACAAATTCGTTTCAACATTGCCAAACCGGCAAACACTTTTTTGCATATTTGTATTGGTCGATAACTTCTCCAACTTTAGAGGGGCTTTAACACATAGCCAAAGCCCTTCCAGCCCTGAACGGATGACATGATCTTACCTTTTTGGCAGCCACCTTGGATGTTCCAACGACCTGATTGTTATGATCCATGACCTCTATACCAGTCCGAAGCTCACTGAATCTCATGAGAGTCACGTTACATACACTAGCTGTGGCTGTATCAAAACAGAAATAAAAGGGATGCCATCACCTGAAAGATTCACAGTTACAATAACCCATAAATGTAGAACAAATCAGATCATCGGGGCTCTGTCTTATTAAGAATTGGGCTCAATCTGGACCAATGGCAATTCTTCTAATCGATTGTAAAAATCAAAACTCCAATCTCTTTAGTGCAGAATAGCAATTGATATCAAGTTGGTTTGACAATGTCAACTGACCAAGAAATGAATCAAATTATTAGTATGATTATCACATGTTCTCTACAGGAAACATTGATCAGAGATTGCACAAAATGAGAAAATCTTCCTTATCCATCCCAGGCTATTATTCTTCCCATGTTCTACATTTATACTTCCACTTGTATTTCCTAATCCCAAAACTGTTCTACATTTGAATGTTGTCATTCATTATTCATACTTTGCTACCACTTCTTAATGGATTCTTAAGACCTGGTGGAACCAACTGGACGATAAAAATGTATTCCACAGGAAGAGATGAACTATTAGTTTTTGTCACTGACAGGTGGTTATCTCATCAAATCAGCTCTTAATTAATTAATTAATTAATTAAGTAGCTACACGTTGTGCAGTCCCGCTTTGAGTCATAGATGAGTATTACCTACCAACAGCAGGAAAGGCACAAATCTTTGGATGATCATCCGTTTCGCTGGACTGACGTTTGCGCCCCTCTTGACAAGCAAATTTAACCAACCTTTGATGAAAGAGTAAAATAAAAACAGTTACATGATTTGATAATCCACTTAAAAACAAAGCAACAGCTAAATAAAATGACTTATGCATAGTGCACCTCAGGGGTGGATCTAGGAGTTTGTAGAAAAACAGGGTGCACATTATTTCCAATATTTTCTGATGTGCAAAAAATAAGGTCATGAGGATTTTCAGCACCTCTTTACTAAACTCTCTGACAAACAAAAAGAAAAATGCTATCCCTTCAAATAGAGAGGAAAACAAATTATTTGTGGACTGCAGTGTACTACAGGTATTTGGGTTTCAAAAGGGGGACAAGGGACGGTTGACTGAAATTCATAATGTTTTTTTTTAACATTTTTTTCTTGGTGGTTTACCATGCAATATGAAATGAGGTTTTACAAACTTAGACTGTTTCCAGTCAGTTTCTTTTCAAAATTTAATCACGGGACCATTTGTTTACTTTATATTTAAACTTACTGCTATTGAACAAGCACTTGTTACAGCTCCTACATATCCCATGACGAAACTTGACACAGGTGTCTCCTGGAATATTATTTTTAGATAGATGAGGGAGAGACAAACAATTAGATCACATTTACTGCAGAGGTTACAACACATAGGTTACAACAATTGTCCGGCAATGATTCGTCCACAATATCCAACACTAATCAAATTCCTCACTTCACAGTTAACACAGACTTATTTAAGGCTTTGGAAGTCCCTTTATCACTTAAGATATCACAAAGTCTACATACGAGTCCATACACCACAGAAGAATTTTTAAATTAAAAAAAAAAATTCAAGTGCTTGGTTTCATTGTGTAATTTAACACACTAGTAAATTATATGAAGGTGTAACCTCAACATTCATGAATCTCTTTCGAGCTTCAGCAAAAAAGAAAAACTTTTCTGTCTTAAAATATGCAATCGGAGTGAAGGTCAGGTACAACCATGTTTACCTGTTGAGAGTAGGCTTAAGGCTCTGGATAAATTCCAATAGAAATACATATATATGAGTATGACATTTCGTTAATGGAATAGTTCAATGAAAATCAAAAGGAAAGCACTAACTTACCTTCGTAGCATTTCTGTTCGCATAGTTCACTCCAGCATTATGACTTTGGTTTATCCACTGTAAAGGAGAGAATTGGGGAGAGAGCGTGAGAGAGAGAGAGAGAGAAAGAAAGAGAGGGAGAGAGAAAAAAAAGGGAGAGAGAAATAGATAGACAGAGAGAGAGAGAGAGAGAGATGGACAGAAACAGAGAGAAGAGAGAGAGAGAGAGGGAAAGAAAGAGAGGGAGAGAGAATAGATGGAGAGAGAGAGAGAGAGAGAGAGAGAGAAAGAGAGATAGAAAAAGATACAGATACAGCAATAGGATTTAAGGAGAAGAAAAACAAGATAGATATTACATACTCTTTGACATTGACTTGCATATTCAAATGGTTTATAACAGTCCTTGTTCAATAGTTTACATAATAAAGTTAATTCTCAGAGAAAATGATAACAAATAAGGAGAATAAAAAGTATATACAGACTGTTGAACAGGAACTGAATCAGATAATTCAGGAATATTACATATCATTCACTATTTCAATTTAAAAACATACCAGTACTAGTCTATTGGTCAAATACATGTCAACATTTTCATGAAAATTAAGCAATTTAAAAATAGGGTCATATTTGTACATTGTTTATGGAAAAATCAAGAGAACATATTAAAGAAGAGAATTAACTATCCATAAAGTCTTGCTTGAAATGTTGAACTGTACATTATATACATTCAGAAATGGGTTCACTTCTTGCAGAAGATATGGGCAATAAATTTAATAAACATCACATACTTGCCAAAATACAGATGATACAATGGTTTGATTTGGAAGAAGAAGACCAACAACAATGGGAGATCCAAACGGAACAAAGCCTGATGAGAAAGATCAATTGATGATGAGTGATATTTACTATGTAAAAGGTTAAAAACATTACAAATTATAATGCATTAAAGACAATAGTAGGAAAGGAATGACTGTATGATTACCATATACCCCCCTCCCACCTCTTGGTATAAATTTCAAAATCTAACAGCAATTGCCATTACCATATAATTACACGTAACTGTTTTAAAGAGGTTATTTCTACCTACAAACTGATAGGGCAAAAACAACAAAAAGACGACTTGAGACTTGTACAAAGACTACTTGTCCTTTGACCAACTTCAGTTGTCAAATGAGACATATATCCTCAATCCAAGGAACAAAGTCCTTTACAAAAACCATCTTTGACAGCGACACATGTCCACTAAGTACACAAGAACAATGAATGGGCAGGAAATACTGCTCCATCAGCACAATAGTTAGGTACACATAGTGTAATAAAAAATCTTTACAATGCACAAAGAAAGTATATGTGTACATAAAAAAATTATTAAACTTTTTTTTTTAATATGGACAATACTGAGAAGAAAATTCCTACCTGACATTCTGAAGGGCATGAACACCTTTTCTCCTGTGTCAGGGTGAACTATTGCCTGAAATCAAAGAACATACATAAAACTTAACTTTCACCATGGTACACATGGTTGCAATACATAGATTTTTTTTATTTGTAAATTTATTTTAGTTACTGGAAGCACAAGTCATCTCTACTCTCAGAGATCTAACAGGAAGTTCATTTTCGATCAATTCAATATATAGTGTCCTTTTGAATCATTCAAAAAGCTTGCTTATTAGCATCAATACATTACAAGTTTACATTACTGATTGATGACCCACTTTGGGTAACCAATCAAAAATGCTCCATATTTGGTTTTAACCCATTGCTTCCATTCTGTGCAATCAAATATCATCTTTGATTAACAAACTTCACTTTCTGATTCAATAACTCATCATAGTTTTTAAAGGTTCATTTAGTTGGTTAAAAGTCTCATTTACCTACTGTAGAAAAGAAAAACCCAAAGCCTCAGTTGTGGTGCACATTTCATAAGATGGTGTGAACAAGATTTTCAAATATATAATACAACCTGCACTCCTGATCAAAATGTAGTCTTTTGAGAGCCATTAACTTGATTATAAAAATTCCCTTCTGACTCGCTGCAGGCAACAAGATGCCTAATAGTATTGATAGACAAGAAGATGTGAGGTAAAAACCTGTGGACTACCAAATTTCCATCTCCCCATAGTCTTAATACAGGAACCAACCGGTTCCAGTAAGCAATGGGTTAGCAGGATGTTTCTTCTTAGCTTTGTCTGAAATATTACCTGTTTGATTTTCTGTGCCTCCCATAGCTGTTTGTTTGTGACCCCGTCGGGCAGGCTTCCTTTCTGATAGGCATCTAGGAGCTCTACAGCCCAGTTAATTTTTTCTAGTCGGATATAATCAAACAATGTATTAGCATTGAAATATCAATTATGAAACAAAATTTATAAGTGTTCACAAGGAGCAAATATTTGTTTATAAGCATTGCATTAATAGTAAATTCTTTTTGTTGTTGTTACGTTTTCTAAACTGATTTGTACCAAAATCCTTTGTTTAGCTGTTTAAGGGGTTAGACTCGACTAGGACATGTGCTATTTTCTTGCCCTTTTTTACCAACCAATAGTTTCTCTTCTTGTATATGTAAACACATTGTATGAAATGTATAACTGTATTGCTGTTGGTAATTGCAATCAAATCAAATTAAGGGTACTAGTTGATTTCACCTAATGAACAAGAACACTTGAACAGAGATTCCAACATGTTGGAGTCCCATATGTGCTATGCAATATAAAGCCTGAAATTGGGAGGTATCGAGGCGTGACATAATAATATAATAATAATGATAATAAATTTGTTTATCCAGGGAAGCCCTTTCCATAGGACAAGAGGGCTAATCAACCAAGTATACCAAGTAAGTAAGTAAGTTTCAATACTATTCTTCCTAAATGCCATTATATTTTGCTGTTGCAATTTTTGTAAATATATTTTTATGTTTACAAGTAGTCTTTTCTAGGCAGTTTACTACATGATATTGGAATGAGATCTATCTTAATTTCGTTTTTGAAATACAAAGGTTGAGGCACATTGTAGGCTGATCGAAGTGAACACCTCGCCCCTCTGCTCTAGAATGTGAAATTTCAACAATATTCTGACATATCCAAGAGCAACCTTAGCAGAAGCTTTTGACATATCCTGTTCACAAAATGACTAGGATAGATCAAGACAAACCATCATAACCATTATCATCATCACCATCATCATCATCATCATCATCATCATCATCATCATCATCATCATCATCATCATCATCATCATCATCATCATCATCATCATCATCATCATCATCATCATCATCATCATCATCATCATCATCATCTATACAGGAGTGTAGGATATCCTGTAGGTCTCCCGGTCAGATCACTTGGTACATTAGTAAAAGTCTATAAACCAGTGCATGGTTGCGTGGATGTCAGACTATGCTATTAAAAAGTGTCTGACCAAAAAGAATCCAAGCTGTGTTTAAATGAATTGATGACGGTAGCAAACAAACAACAGCTAAATTGATGCAATCCATTGATATTCTAAATATTAATGATGTCTTGCTAGGCAATGTTTTGCAAAACCGTCATACATGTAGGTACAAGTTTGCTCACATCCCATTGTTATGTGTTTTAATTTAAATGCACACGTTTCAATGGGATGTCGGCAAAAGTTGTCCATGACCTTATGTTTCCGTGAAGCGACATGCTGCGCCTGGTGCAACAATATTTATATAGTGCATTCTACATGTGGTTTTTACCTGGGAAACAAAGAGAGTCCTTGGGTCTATAATGTCCAAGAAGTGACGATATCGCCCTAGGAACGTGCTCTGTGAAAGAGAAAGGAAAATAATGAGCATTATACATTTAAAGAATAACTGGTTTCCAGTAATTTAGCTGTACCCATATTTTTGTCTTCTTCTTCAATTTAGACGGCTGTTGCAAAAGGAAGTCTGTTGATGTTGTTGCAGTAGGGGGTGTTGATTTTTAAAAAAAAGATGCTCCATACCCCCCCCCCCCCCCCCCCCCCCCGCTTATTCGTCGGCTAATTCACCGCTGAATATTTTCTCTCAAACAAAAAACTAAGTGCCGATTACCCCCCCTTGCACTGTCTCACTCTCACCTCAGGCTCAAAGTTGGCAACCCTAAGAACCCCCCCCCCCCCTTGAAAAAAGCTTGTACGGGCTTGTATATTCATGTATATGTCGGCCTGGGGCCCATTCCTACAAACCGTCATAAGTCTAACTTCTTGACTAAATCAGCGTTAGTGAGCAACTTGTCCACTACGTGTTTCACCAAGCCCTCTTTGCCAAGATCAACGACAACATCCTGACTAAGGAGTTATGACGCCTCTGACACCGTCGTATCTCTGTCATAACTATTTAGTCGATGGGCAGCGCCATCACATGTCATTTATTGGGTAGACTTTGGTGGTATTGCGGTGGTATTGCGACTAAGGCTAAGTTTTGGCTCCTCTTCTCGCCGATAGTATCGATCTCACGAGATACTAGCTAGTAAGCTCTTCGTGAAACGGTTTAGGAAGATCAGAGACATCTCCGTAGTTGGCGGATAAAGTTATGACTGTCTTGTCGTTGGTTTCTAGGAACGAGCCCCAGAATCTCTACATCGCTATATGACGGACTAGTACTACCAGGTCCGTCATCACCAGGCCAGGCCAGGCCAGGCCAGGCCAGGCCCGGCCGCGCCACACCCCTGCGCATATGGGGTGCCAAGCAGTGCAGTGGCTACCATAATTAGGAGTCAGTAGCGTTGGAATCGGACCGATCTGTAAATCGTTTTCTCAACATATCAAGCAATGACACTAGTAACAGACTCTAGAATATCTTCGATAATTACCTGGTCGAACCTTGGCTTGCTCAGCTGAAAGGTAGGAAAACCATCTTGGTCCATTTTTGCCTCGATTTGGTCCATATTTCGCAGCTCGTTCGTCGACGTCTATCGGTCCGCAATCAGCTGGAACAACAGGTTGTAGATAGTCTTCTTCGAAGGACGTATTTGTTTACAATAAATGGGGCATAATCGTAGTCTTTCTTTCAGTTTACACCTGGGCTATAGGCCTACAAATATGAGTGCTACGCAACATGACCCAGCACCACATTAATACTATCATTATCATCATAATCATCATCGTTATTATCTTCACAATCACCACACCACCACCACCACCACCATCATCATAATCATCATCATAATCATCATCACTAGTATCATCACAATCACCACCACCATCATCACCATCATCACCACTAGTATCATCACAATCACCACCACCATCACCATCATCATTACTATTATCATCACAATCCCCACCACCATCACCACCATCATCATCATCATAATCATCATCACCAGTATCATCACAATCACCACCACCACCACCACCATCATCATCATAATCATCATCACCAGTATCACAATCACCACCACTATCACCATCATCAGCACCACCATCACCACCATCATCATCATCATAATCATCATCACCAGTATCATCACAATCACCACCACCACCACCATCATCATATCACCCTCAATTTTGTAAGCTCCAAAGGACCTCACACAGACTGGAAGGCTAATTCCTGCGCAACCTAATTTTCATACCCTTTACAAAAGTGAGCAGTGCTCACCCATGCAAGCATGAATTATTTTCAGACTTTTTGGTGTCATATGAAAGTTGAGTTTATGAGCTTTCCATACATTTAAAACTTTTTCCCCAGAATCATATATTTTTTTATTCGGCAGCCATTTCAAAAGTGTATAGTTTTTTTTTTTTTTTTTTGGGGGGGGGGGGGGCGCACGGTATAGGGACTGGAGGCTATAATGGTTCTGATGTTTGGGGCCTTTCTGTCGTACGTATAATGCTGCATTGTGTACAGATTTATCTTTATAATGATAATAACACAAATAATTTTGTAAAGGGGGCTGCTCGGTATGTAAGCAACAGAGGACAGACGGCTTTAGGTCCTCTCTCTCCATCTCTCTCTCTCTCTCTCTCTCACACACACACACACACACACACACACTCATGTTCTCCCTCTCTCTCTCTCTCTTTTCTCTCTCTCTCTCTCTCACTCACTCACCATTTTATTCATTTGCAATATATTATAAAAAGTGAAGGAACGTACAAGATGATATATCTCCCGCACCATCGATCGTCCAATTGTTGAAAACGATGAAGACACATATCATCGCAAATTACGTTCGAGAGATGAGGATCGGCCGACGAACTGTTGTTTTGTTATCTTGTCGTTCTTGACAACATGATTATGCGAAAGATAATTTGTCTTCATATTGTTAAAGCTTTTCATCATGAGGTCCTAAAATATCGAAAGTGATACCTTCATTAATTAATCATGATGCGTGACGTGACAGTATTAGGACTATTTTCATTTTCATTTGGATGTTCAGATCCACAGTCTAGTAATTGTCCAACAGAAGTTACTACAACTGAATACAGACAAACCCAAAGAACAAGGGGAAATCGATTTTTTATTTTTATTTTTTATTTTTTTGTTGTTGTGGTTATCACCATGGCGAAAGAAGTTATAAGTAATGCTTCTCGATACAGCAGTACACTATTCCCTCAAGTGCTTAACATCAAGCATTGGTTTCTGCTTCGCCTTTTTGCAATTTCACTAAGCATTATGAAGGTGGTCCTATATAAGGGGACACCCCTTCTCGATTACTTGTAAGCTGTAAATCACCTTAATCAATAATTTATAATGAAGTTGGCTCTATCTTACAAATATACACTGTCTTGGGAGGTTGTGGTTGAAACTATGGACAAGAGATGACTCCGATAGTACGTTTTGCTGAAGGACTCAGCCCCGAAGCAAATTAATAGTACTATTGGAGTCACAGAGGGACCATAGTTTTAATCATATATTTGTAATATAAATCATTTACAATTTTATATTGATTGATCATTGGTTGGTTAAAAGATGTTGATGTAAAAATCGAAGAATTCAAACTTACTCGCTGTAGCCATTCCTGTCGCCTTTTCATTTCCTGATTACACAGTCAAAAAATAGGAATTTTTGCTATATAGTCGTAAATAGTACTTTTTGCAAAATAATGTGCTTATTTTGTAATCATGTGACACAATTTTAACAAATCAATGAACAAGAATATATGAATGACGTACATAAACGGGGATCAGGGGCGTACGCAGGATTTTTTCAAGGGGGGGGTTTTAAAATATTTTGCTCCCTAAAATTTGAAAATCGCGCCGGCCGAAAAGTCGCTCAGTGGGGGGGGGGGGGGGGGGGGGGGGGGGGGGGGGGTAAGCGGAACTTTTTTTTTTTTTTTTTTGGAGGCCAAAAAAATCGCCAAGACTCAGCCGGCAGAAAAGTCGCTCAGTGGGGGGGGGGGGGGGGGGGGGGGGGGGGGGGGGGGTAAGCGGACACTTTTTTTTTTTTTTTTGGTCTCAAAATTTCAAAATTTGACATTTTTTACGTTTGGGGGGGGGGGTAAGGTCACCTTATGTAGGTAGCCGTGGGTATAATTTTTTTTTTTTTTTTTTTTTTTTTTTTTTTTTTTTTTTTAATAAAAAAAAAAAAAAAAAAAAAAACCAAAGGGGGGGGGGGGGGGGGGTTTTATGTTTTTTTAGGGGGGTTTACATACATTAAAATACAAAGGGGGGGGGTTTGAACCCCAAAACACCCCCCTGCGTACGCCCCTGACGTGGATGACCCCCGTCCCCCCTCCCATTTATTTTTAAATCACTATAAAGCCATATACCCGTGGACCTGCGGTAACAACTGTTGTTCTGTTCTCATGTCGTACTTGGAAACATGATTATGCGAAAGATATTTGTCTTAATATAAATATCAAAAGTGATACCTTCATTAATTAATCATGATGCGTGACAGTAAAAGGACTGGTATACTTTTCTTTATCATTTGGATGTTCAGATCCACAACCTAATAGTTGTCATCAGAAGTTTAGTGTATAACTTGCTATAACCGAATACAGACAAACCCCCAAACAAGAGGAAAGCGATTTCTTGTTATCTTTAATCATCATCATGGCTGAAGAAGTTATAAGTAATGCTAGTCGATACAGCAGTGCACTATTCCTTTGCTTAACATCAAGCATTGGTTTCTGCTTGGCCTTTTTGCCAATTCTACCACAAAACCCCAATTTCCACCGTCTGCATTCACATCAAAGGATGTCATGCTTGGCAGTTTGACCGTAGCCATGATCCGTGCTCGTTGATCTCACTATGGATTCTCTTTCGTAGACGGGCGTACCACCGTGATCAAATTCTGTTTTGGCCGATGCAATGTTACCACTGCGCCAGGGCATTTGGAATCTCTTATCTTACTCCAGAAACGCTTAGTCTGATACAGAGACATGTAATTCCCCTGGGCCAGCATCTCTGCAGAGAGCTTCGACTTTGAATGACTTGGGAAGGGTGTCTCGAGCTCGCAACATCAAACAAGCCATTCTTCACGAGGTACTGTCCAGAAGAATCTTGGGCACCCAGGAAGTTCTCGAGGATTGAACTCTGTATCTGGGGCATCAGGAATGGCCAGTAACCCACCGAAGGTCATAAAGAGTATCCCGTTAAAACCAGATTGTATTGGTCTTAGAAGAGGATGATCCTCGTGAGCTAGTACCTGTTTGCTCGCCATCAGGTTCATCATACCACAGACCTTCGGAAGATGGAGTGGTTCTTATGTTCTGAAAGTGATGAGACTTCAAGAGATCAGACATCATGCGAGTCAAGGATCTTGGAGGACTCATATATAATTGTAGCAAGTGGGACCCAATTCGACATCTAGGGAAGATCAATCACCCAATCTGAAATCGAGTCATAACAAGGAGCATCTCAACATCCAGGGGTTGGTGTACACGAAACCACATAAATCGATGATAAACATATTTCAATTCTTTACTGCTTTAACCGTGCTTGGTATATTGGTGAAACTATCCATTCTGTGAGATGCATTTTGAGAGATGACCAAAGCACAAGCTCAAATTCATTCCATGTCTTCGAGAATATTTTATATTTGATTACATATCATAGCTCTGCTTTTTTTCAGAACATTCTATGGCGCTGTTTTCGTTGACAAAACCTCTTTATCCTATACCTTGGCATTCTTCTTTGAATGTTTTTCTTTGTGTCAATGAAGGTATTGCTCACCCCATAAGTGAATTTGGGCATAACCAAAACAAACTCATTCCTGTATGCCAATGGTAATTCTTCTGGCGGACTCTTGCTGACCCGTTTTACGAAGAATGTGCCATCACTGGTGCTGCAATATGCCTACAGATGTGGACTTCTATCCTCCCGTTGTCAACCCTTAAAGTAAGGGACCAGACAGCAGAGTATGAGGAAAATCAAAGAGACGAATAAGTGTCAGATGGTTGCAAGAAGCCTGACAGGAGTCTTTCTACACGATTCCATCTTGTATTTCATTTGCAGCTTCGGTTGCCTACTTCGCTTGCAGTAGAGTTCTACTCTCTGGAAAGGGTACTTGCAGTACAAGCATGCATGTTTGAAAGATGTCTCCAGGTTAGTGTTCTTCGCACCACCCCTCATCCTGTGCGTCTGGCACCTCTTTGTTACTCGTAGCTTCCCTAGATTCAGAGCCACGACCAACATTCCGAACATTCGCAACCTCATAGGTGTCCACGATGTCATGCTTCTGCTTTGTGGAAGTGGGGTTTTCACACTCCATATCTTTAGGTCATCTCTGCAGCCATAGGGCTGTCTCAGAAGCCGGTAGCAACCATGACTTTGTTATATCTGACAAAGACATCTTGTTATGGTTACGTTCGTCATCTCTTGCTACGACATCATGAGGGTGGTTCTGACGACCCTTGTTCTTCTTGTAGCACAAACGTCAGCAGCTGCAGGGAGCTCGAGAAAGGAAGTGGTCAAGGATCTGCCTGATGTATCTGTTGCTGCAAACATCACGCAATGGCTTGAGGAGAGTACCAAGAAACCTTCGTGGCTTGTGCTTTCATCAGGGTTGGACTCTTTAAAGGAGAGATTTTGGAATGTTGCTCAACCTTTCATTACGATATATAGTTTACATTCTGCAACAGTGGCGTATGAAATCTTCAAGTCAATTTAATAAATCTGAAATATATGTTCATTTTCATAACCAAAGACGTATGAGAATATGATTGTTGATTGAAATGACTTAAAATGATGATAAATACATTTGTGTGATGTCACACCAGAAGCATTCTTGTTTTAACAATTTAAAAAAAAATACAATGACATATACCTGTAGTTTGAAATCTTGGAAACATAACATGTATGTAGAAATGCTTCTTTATGCATTCGACAGAAATGGTACGATCAAGTAACTCTAAAAACTTCCATATTCACCTTTTCTTACTTGTGTGCAAACAGTACCAGGAAGAAAGTCTGGGGTTTTAGCCCAGCTAAATAGATACAATAGATCTACAAGATTCCTCTATAAGTAATTAGGATTAAAGTATTCATAATAAGCTGGCACATCAAATAAATCTAAGTATGAAGGGATACTCCTAGGTTTGTAACAAAGGATAAAATTGTGAAGTAAATAAATATCAAATTAATGCTAAAAGAATAAGGTGAGAGATTCATTAATTTTCATGCAAAAGATAATCTTTATTAAGAAAAAAATCATTGTTATTATGGTTATTTCAGTAAGATCTTCTAGGAAATAACATGAGATGCATTCTTTAATCAAAGAGACACAAGTTGTATCATTTAACAAAGAAACATACCTGTAGCAAACAAAACATATTTGGACATGTACATATATTTTTTTGAAAACAAAAAATATATATGGCCACTAATTTGTTGCTTCCAGCAGTTAATGTCCCTGGTTAATGTTTAAAATACAAATGTATTATAAAAAGTTTCAAAACATCATTTTGTGCTTTCTTGGTGAATGCTTATAATATGAACACACCCCTTTGCTATATAAACATTTATTCCCAGTGTTTACCTGATATAAAAAATCCAGGTCAAATCAAAATAACATTCATCAGCAATTAAAAGAGAGATATAGCCTTTGTCCCACTCAGCATTGTACTCAGGTAAATGGCAGGTCGAATCAAATATCAGTAGAGTAAAAAAAACAATATGGTCTGAGGATGATAACTAGTTACATACAAAACAATTAATCACAGAGTTGAACAGGTCTGAAGTCACTCTGACTAAAGGTACAGAATAACAATACAAAATAATCATTAACTATTTTTTTGTAAAACTGGTATTATCTGAGATGGTAAAAATTAGAAATTTGCATTCATAGCTTGTCCTTTCGTTCTTTGTTTAAAATTATAGATGTTTTAAATAAATTGTCTACTGCGAATTAGAAGAGTGTTAGCTTCTATACATTCACACAAAGTTATCTAGACTTTCTTACTCTCATTTGACAATATAAAGTGTACTTTGTAATTTGTAAAAACATGTAAGGTGATAATGTATATTTCTGTAACACTGAAGAACACCATGTGATTTGAAAAACTTGTTTTCGTTCATAACTGTTATTACATGTAACTCAGTTATGGGAACAAACAATCTTGAAATGATACATACATTGTATTTCACTTGGTAAGTTAAGACATGACATGGACAGTGACCTAAATAGAATGAAATGAGATGTTTTCCTTCCAGAATAATGATTTCAACAAGAAATACTAGATTTGACTTAAAAATACAACAAGTACGTTTTGAAACAGTTTTGTACAGAATGAATCGTGTCATATTAAAGGGAGATTTCATTATACAGATACAGGTATGGACAAAAAGTAGATTAAAAATTAAAAATTAAAAAAATAGAAAAATAAAATTCAGATTGGAAGACATTAGTATTCGACAACATAGGGCTCATCCCTTTTAAAACAGTGAAGCTTGAATTCAGTCAGATCATTCAAACTTAACTATGGTCTTTATCACTAACTGACAATGGGCTGTCAAAACTAGGCAAAGCGAGCACAAGTAAACATAAAGATCTGTTGTTTGTTTTTGAGAGATTTAGAAAAATTACATTTTTCTAGCTTCTGTTTGCTTGTATTTTGATTACCCTTTTACTATTTACGTTTACAAGTTTTGCTGCCCATAGTGAACAAATTGAATAGTCCATAGTATGTTTAAATCATCTTTGAATTCAGGTATAAAAACATTATGTCAATAACTTTTCGGCCATTGGTCTGAGCTTTAATGCGGTTCTTTACATGATTACGGTAACAGAAAAGCGCATGTTTTACAGATCTTGGTCATTTTCAATTACTTCGCTGATTAGAAAAATATAAAAATGAAAATTAGCCTTTTATAAAGCTGGTTAACGAGAAGGAATGTTTGCAAGTCAGATGAAAATGCGATCAAAATATTGACTTTCTCTTCTTTAAAAATCTATAACATACATGTATTTGAAAGAAAGGGGAATATCTGTGCTAAAGACTCATTAGAGAAAGAATTTGTAATAGGCACTTTCGAAGGTCATAAAAACACCACTTTGATGTACATACAAATTGCTGAATACATTTTAAATCTAAAAACCCTTCTTCCCAAATAATATATTGAATCAATTCCCTAATCCATTTTCATTTTCAAAATTTGACTATTTCAAAGAGACCTACATTTTCAACTTCCCCTTTTTATCTGTAATTACTTTCTAATTGTTTGTCCAATTTGTAGAAATCTTAGGTATTTCCTTTCTCCTCTCTCTCTCTCTCTCTCTCTGTCTTTTCTTTTTACAACATGATTATTAACAAAGTAACCAACTCTCCTTTTTCAGGTACTCAATTCCTGAAAAATCACAATTATAAGGGGAATCACCTTTTTGCATGAACCTTTTCTTTTTCACGTTTGATTCCAAGATTGATATATACAGCACATGACATCCAATTCCTAGAAATGTACAAAATAGTTCACATATCCTTACATATAATTTCAGACAGGTTTCAGGGCCCTTACCAACACATTGTAATACTTTGAATACATGCAAAATAATTAATTATTTACATTCATACTCTGATTTATCACACCTATCATGATTCGGTTATCACATAACTTTTGAAATTTATTTAATGAATTGGGAAGAAATTTAATATTAAGAATTTCTTTGCATAATTTTCTGCTATCTTCTAATTATGTACAATGTAACTGTAGACATTTTATGTTCTAAATCAAAATCAGAACATTATGCATTATGGTTTACATCTGTTAGTGAAGGCAAGAAAATAGCAATACACAGCAATTAGGTAATTGGAAACATAAGGCAGACTACTTTGCCTGATTGTCATATGATTTAAAGACAAAATATTAAGGTTAGCTATCAAAAGTAATTGGAGAAGAAAAAAATAGAAAATAGAGGGATTGTTTTCGTTTTGCAGCATTTCAGTATGTCATGAAAGAGAGGTTATAGAGTTTCAAAAATGAGGTCATTTTTCTTTTGTCACATACAATACTGGGTATGATGAAGAAATGGATGTAATTGTCACTACAGTAAATTATCATTATTTGGTCTTGTCCGAGCTTTTGCAATACTATCAACCTTCTACAAACATAAGGCTAAGAAAAGAAAAATTATGTAGTTGGTAACATCTGGAAGAATGACTGTACCTAGGAAATTCCCAATACATCTACTGACTGAACTGGAATGAAGAATATCCAAAATGACTTTTGACAAGAATTGGTCAAATTGTTTCTCTAAAGAATTACAGAGCAACTGCAATTTGCTTCCTAGGATAAATGAGTGTATATTTCTTGTCGCTTCCACATTTCCTCTTTCCATCCTCCCCTTTTCTCTTCGCAGCATCTTTGGTCCTCGTGTGAGCGACGGAGCCCTGAAAAAATTGCCTGTCTAAAAGTCCCAGAATATATACAGAGTTATTATCAAAAATTACAAAGGCAAGAATGATGACTAAACAGGTGTGGTGAGATTTCTTGGGTCTTTAATATGTCCCTTGAGATACTTCATCATACTGAATGTTCGAATCCTCCTCTGACCTGTATGTCGGGGGAGGGGGAGGGGAGAGGCAGAAGGAAAACAACAATTATAAAATGTCATTAAACTGAAGGTTCTGTAACAGTAACCTATGCAATGTAGGAATAGGTTTTTAAAAGGTGCTTATTGTTAAAGTTGAAGATCCTTTATTCAATGAATGAATAAATAAAATAAAATGAACAATACCAATATTAATAATAACAACAATAACAGTACTACAGTCAAACCTGTCTATAGCGACTGCCCAAGGAAAACACCAAAAGTGGTCTTTAAAGACAGGTTGTCTTTTTTGACAGGTTCCTTTAGTACATGTTTCAATGAGAAAACCATTTTCACGGGAAACAGAAAATGTGGTCTCTGTAGACAGGTGGTCACTAAAGCAGGTTTGACTGTACCACTACCACTACTACTTATACTCCTACTAATAATAATGAGGATAATGATGATGAAACTGATAACAATGTGTCATTGATGTTCTTTAAAGGGAACAAGTAGTTGACCCTGAAATTGGTTTGTGTATATGAGTGAAATAGAAACAACATTGATAACATGGCACTTCCTGTATCGTACAGAGCCAATAATAATAAAAGTGGATATAATGAAGATGTTTTGAAGCAGAATAAATTCATAACGGCAAAATAGCCACAAGGAAGTGATTTTGTTAACGGTACATTGTATGTACATGTATACATGTGTCATTTATGAATAAACTACCGGTATGTCATATTTTCTTCATATATTACTACTTTTAGTAGAATGTCAAATATTAGTTTTAAATCTAATCATACGATTCTATTATATAATGATGCACTGGGTACTCAAATGTAATTTATAATGTGTTTTCTTTTTCTGTGCCTGATCGGCATGTCCTTCCTTTCCCACAGTTCTATCTTACTCACCAAATACTCTGAGTAGTTCATCATCACATATGTGGTACTGCTTATTCTTTGGATCCTGTACGTGTTACAAAAAGATAATAATAATAATAATAATAATAATATTAAAGGTAATACAAAGTTTTGGTATGGGGTCATGAATTTGTTCAAATGAACATTTTAGAAGCATATGCGATTTTACTGTATATTCAATGATCGTTGTCATGGGTTGAAATTGAGTCTAAAGTGATGAAATTATAAATAATAAACTCTTTATGTTATCCACTAAAAGACTGATATTTCTTTAGCTTCAAAACAATGTCTTTTACTACAATCGACCGATTTGCTATTCCCATTTGGAAATTATATATCAGAACTGCATATTCTGAGATTTCCATGGTTGCAGCTATCATGGAATGGTCGTAGGCGATATTTGAATATTTGAAATTTACCGGGAGCACCAGTAAATTTTTTATTATTCAATTTCTCGAAAGCAGAAGTGTTTTAGGGGCTAAATTTTCTAGTGCTTATAATGCATCCACAGAGGCATCCAAATATATCAACATTTTAAAGAATTACTATCAATCCAATTTTCTAAATTTCCCAAAACTTTGCATTACCTTTAATAATAATAATAATAATGAAAATGTTTATTAAGCTTATTCAGCTCTAAGGCTGCTAAAGATGCCAAACAAAATCATTTCAATTTAAAAGCTATAAAGTAACTCAATAACAAATATATGAAGTCAACAAACTAAAAGTTGAACTATAAGAAGGGAAACTTGATTGTAACCATGGCTTTAAAAGTTTGAAGGGTATTTGGTGTTTGCGGAGAAAAGGGTAACCTATTCCACAGAGAAGGAGCTGCTGATGAAAAGTTCTACCCCCCCCCCTTTTTCCTTAAGCTTAGTATTACTAGATGAACAGAACAACAGAATGATAAAACATTTATGCAAATGCTATTTCACTTTTCCCTTTCAAGCTGTACCATTATAATTGTGAAATGACCTTGTGGTTTATGAAATTCCAGGAAGTGAATTCAAGGTTTACTATAACAGGCATCATCCTTTATGACAATGAGCTTTTATCGTTCAAATTTGACGGTAAAGAATAACTTCTACTCTGTTAATACAACTGACTTTTAAAATATATTTTTAGTAAGAAATTAATAACTTGGCTCAGAGTATTTAGTAGGCCTAATACAGAATTATATGTTTAGATCATTTCACAGTAAAGTTATAACAAAGAATTAACACAGAATCCATTGTCCTACGCAAATTAGACTACAATACATATGAATGGATAAGGCAGTGGGAAGCTTTATGAAGAGTTCAAATGGCTACGCGAGTGAAACTAAGCATTATGAAAAATGAAACAGAAATGTATAATTAAGGATGCAAATATGACACATGTATGATTGATAACTATTAACTTGATCTTCAAATTGTGATAAGTAATAATTGATGAATGTTAGCAGATTTATAACACCCATGTAAGGAAGTAAGATATGCATAAAAAAATATCAAATTTATAGAAGAACAAAAGCTGTTTGGATGGATAAAGAGGATTTGCTTTGCTTTAACCAACAGACTGACAATCTGCTGTTGGTTAAGTGTTACTTGTATTTCAAACAGTTCTCTTCTTAAATACATAGTCTTTTCAACTCTGGAACATTTAGTCTGATCACTTTTAAGAAAAAAGGATTTTTTTTCAACATATAGAACCAATATTTTGCTGATGTCAAGTCTTGTGAACTTTATAATAAAAACACTTGCGTTATATCAAGATGTATCTTTCTTCGTTAAGCTTTTGATGCATTTCTATTCATGCCTTGATCTTTCCCTTCCCCTTTTTTCTTCTTCTTGTCTCCCTATTTTATTTTATTAGTCTGTTGATTTTGTATAGATATTGTAATCAAACTCTATATCAAAGTTGTTAAAATGATATAAGTAATAAAATGCCTCGTACGAGGAAAAGAGAGAAAGAAAAAAAACGCTTACCATAAGATTCCTCTCTTTGACAATTGCCCACATTCTCTTCACAACTTCATGTCTTGACATCTGGAGAAAACAAAATACATTCAAATGTTGATGAAATAAATACATTCAAATGTTGATAAAATAAAATACATTTAAATGTTGATAAAATAAAATACATTTAAAGGTAAAGACCAGTATTGGAAACGCCCCAATTTCAAAAAATGAAATGGAAGCTCTCATTACCAATCATGTGAAAGAATATGTTTTGACTAATACATGATGATAAAAAATTTGCCGGGAAACCGCCTACTAATTCATATATTTGGTAAATTTGTTTCTCTCATGGTCTGTGAGAGATATAGGGTAGTCAAATATACATTTGTCTGTGTATAGTGCTTGTAACTTTACGAAGAATGGGCCAAATTTCTTATCATTTTGATGATTCCAGAACCTTGCAGATGCTAGATGCTAGATGATCAACCTTTTCTGATCGATTCCACAACGTTTCTTTCACAATGCAATCGCATGACCATAACTGGTCTTTACCTTTAAATGTTGATAAAATAAAATACATTTAAATGTTGATAAAATAAAATAAATTTAAATGTTGATAAAATAAAATACATTCAAATGTTGATCAAATAAAAACACATTCAAATGTTGATAAAATAAAATACATTCAAATGTTGATAAATAAAATACATTCAAATGTTGATCAAATAAAATACATTCAAATGTTGATAAAATAAAATACATTCAAATGTTGATAAATAAAACACATTCAAATGTTGATAAAATAAAATACATTCAAATGTTGATAAATAAAACACATTCAAATGTTGATAAAATAAAATAAATTCAAATGTTGATAAATAAAACAGATTCAAATGTTGATAAAATAAAATACATTTAAATGTTGATAAAATAAAATACATTCAAATGTTGATAAATAAAATACATTCAAATGTTGATAAAATAAAATACATTTAAATGTTGATAAAATAAAATACATTTAAATGTTGATAAAATAAAATACATTTAAATGTTGATAAAATAAAATACATTCAAATGTTGATAAATAAAACACATTGAAATGTTGATAAAAAAAATACATTCAAATGTGATAAAATAAAATACATTCAAATGTTGATAAATAAAACAGATTCAAATGTTGATAAAATAAAATACATTCAAATGTTGATAAAATAAAATACATTCAAATGTTGATAAAATAAAATACATTCAAATGTTGATAAAATAAAATACATTCAAATGTTGATAAATAAAACACATTCAAATGTTGATAAATAAAACAGATTCAAATGTTGATAAAATAAAATACATTCAAATGTTGATAAAATAAAATACATTCAAATGTTGATAAAATAAAATACATTCAAATGTTGCTGAAAGAATAAATTTTGAACATGCTGAGCATCAGGACCTAATAGATACTGGGGGGGGGTGTTTCATAAAGCTGTACTGTGCGTAAAGTTACGAATGACTTTATAAATGTTTTGAATATTAAGAACCAAATGGGATGCCCAAAGTTTTTCCTGACATTTCAACAAAGTGTGACTGTATTTCCCATAATCTCAATTAAATTGTAGCAAAAATACACTTTGAAATAGAATTATTTGTTATTATATAACGCCTACTAAGATTCTTACAACCTCATTGGTCAATTCTTGATCACATGACATGCGCTAAAAGTACCATTGAACGGCATCATTCTCTAGCCGTGCAACTCCAGTTGACCCTTTCGCACCATTGCACTCTGACGTCACTATTAACGATGTACAAAGTATATTGTGAGCTAAGTGAAGTCACCGTGCAATGGTGCGAATGGATCAACATAAATTGCACTCCGCGTAACAATAAACATAAAGCATGGTACGCCCATGGTGCGCGCATGGTTTGCTGTCTGCTTCAATAGTGCGCGCTCACTATCGGCAATTTCATCAAAAATTTTTTTTTTTTAAATTGCTGAGATTTAGGCTTAGAAAAACTGTTCTTAAACAAAAATTGTTTAAATCTCGTTAACGTCCGAGGTGTTGTATAAAACAAATAGTGAATGGTCTTTATTCGTGCAATGGAACAATATTTAGCATTCGGTGAAAGATGAGGCGCTCCATTCAACTCTGCTGCGCCTCGTTGAATAGACCGTCTCTTATCTTTCACATAATGATAAGGTTGATCTACATCTGCATATTTCAACTTTACCTTATAAATGCAAGTAAAAGGATTTGAGAATCCCATTTAGCTCTTCATATTCAAGTCATTCGTAACTTTACGCACAGCTTTATGAAACACCCTCCTGGTCAGTGATTTTTTCATGCCCATATTGCATTTCTAATCAACTAAAGGAATTCTTATCTTTCTCACATAATAGCTAATTCATCTATTTTCATTTAATTTGACTGTTTGATTGATTAAAATGCCCTTCAAACCAATGTTTGCGATGTATCATATTATTTTACCCTTCCATTGTCTTTTAGAGCTTCTTTAATAATGAGGCCTTAATTGTACCAGCTACCTATAAACAAAATTGAGTTAACTAAAAATGTGTGAACTCAACCTCAAAAAAATTTACCAGACATTCTAAGGGCAAACAGACAAGGAGTATGAAGAAAATAAATAACATAAAACACGAGTACGGAACCCAGGTTAGACTTCTGTTCCATGCGGGCCTCATTTTATGTAAGCGGGTATGGATGCATCGAGTATTCCACTAACCAATCACTTTTGTGTTAATTGAGAGTCTTTAAACTTGCACTTTAACATTTTTACAAAAGTAAATTTTATGTTTATATTTTTAATATGGAATAATGACATGAAACCCCTAGCAAAATAGATTGGTACACTGTAAAGCAACATTGGATTGGGCTGGAGATCAAAATACCTTTAGTGGGTGTGGCTGGATATCTTTTCTTCACATGAGCAAATGTCACCCAAGCAAATAATGGGTCACAAATAATGTTATTTTCCTGGCTTTAACAAGCTTCCAGGTACCATAGAAGAAGAAAGAAAAAAAAGAAGAAACTATCAACTTACTCTTTCTGCTCCTATAATATTGGCAAGTTCTGGTGACAAGATCATATCCGCTACATAACCTGAGAAAGAGATTGAATCTTATCAGAAACATTTGCTATTCCATAATGACACCTGTTACTAGAGAATAGATATGAGCAAACCAAAATCACTTACAAACTCTAATTGATTTTTGTTTATCCATCAACAAATTAAATATCTGCTATTCCATTGACAGATAAATAAAAAGTAACCTTCCATCTCTCTATATATATATATATATATATATATTATTATTATTATTATTATTTTTTTTTGGGGGGGGGGGTGTTAAGATTTTTGTTATTTGAGGAGGGAGCTATGAAACTATTTCAGATTTCAGTAGTATCATATAGATATCATCTAAGCTCAATTCAGATGTGATTACTAATTGGATATTCACATAAGTCCTTAATATCTGATGAAAAAAATTACTTCAATTTAATAACAACAAAAGCAACTCTATTGAAACAATATATTCTTATAACTGAATAGTGTCATGAAAAGAAATTCAAAATCAAGAAATTAGTATAATATTTTTTCAATATATTATTATAGTTGAATGTACCTGTCTTTCCCTTATCCTTGGAGGCCCCGTTGGCTTTCTTGGAGGTTGATTTACTCTTGACTGCAGCTGCTTTCCTTGTGGGATTTCTTGTTCTCCTGCTCTCCTCCTGGTGTAGTTTCCACGCCAACTCTTCATCGTTTATTGTCTGTCACACAAAACATTCAACGAAATTAAATGTGAACACTAGTGCTGCACAATAACATAAGGTTTTTCACACGAAACACACAATATTAAATGTGAACACAAAAATTGAATCACAAATTCAAAATGATGCCACTAGTGTAGTTTCCATGCCAACTCTTCATCGTTTATTGTCTGTCACACTAAACAAATAATGAAATCAAATGTGCACACTGCTGATGCATTACAATACATCATCTGTCACAAAAAGAAAACAATTAATTGTGAACACTACTGCTGCACAATAACACATCATCTGTCGAACAAAACACACAATGAAATTAAATGTGAAGACAAGTGCTGCAATATAACACATTTTCAGTCACTGCAAGTCATTATATCATAACTTAACTTCCAATTGGATGTTAAGCGCTTTGAGCATGTTTATGTAAAGGTGCTTTATAAATATCAATATGTATGTATGTATGTATGTATGTTCTCCGAATCAACAGGGCTTAATTTTCATAACTTCATTGGCAATCTATTTTTCTGCTCCAACGCTAGCCAACTTTATATGAGGATTTGAATCCCCTTTAACAGATTCTGACTCAACCCAACACAACAACTTACCAGTTCGTCATCTGAATCCTCTACGTTAGCTTGGCTCTTGGGTGCCTCCCTCTTCTGTATATGTTATAAAAATAACATTAAATCATCATCATCATGAACCATTAAACATCATAAACTACTAAAAGACTGAATCTATATTACTAATACGCAAAATCGCCGCGGGGGGTCCAACACGGGCCAAAACGGTTCCTCAAAAACGCCTTTCCCCGACCCGCTCGTAACCCGCGTGCCACCTCGACCCCGCGATCGACGTCCATGCCGTTAAATGCGGTTTCGGGGTGCCGGGGAGGACGGGCGGACGAGAGCACGGCGGGCGTCGTGGATTGCGAGGAGGCGACGAACCCGCGAGAGCGAGTTGACAAGGCGTGCACCCGCCCTCTGTCTAATTATCAAAGAGAGACGAAGAGACACACGATAGACGAGAATCCACTCGCATTAACGGGTGTAGCAAGTCTCATTGTAAAGGCTGCGGCGTATCTTGAGTAAGGCCTCTTGCTATAGGATTCGCTTTGTAGCGTGTAAGAGAAATACACATCAACAGATGACTCACGCGGGTGAGGGGGTGTAAGAAATGCACGCTCTCACGGGTTGGGCTTACCCGTGTTATGCGTCTTTCTATAGGATATGCTTTGTAGGCCAGGCGCCATAGTATACGTGTATTTCACGCTCACCGTCACACACGTACACACACTCGATTCGAGTCGTGGCGATTGCGACAATTGGCGCAAACCATGGACCTATTTTCGCGTAAAATCTTTACTCTGAAAATAATTATACAAATTCTGTGATCTATGCCAACATATTCATAGTCCAAGCTTCTGTTTTATTGGTCTTTTCATGAAAACTACCTCGAAATAACAACAATAATAACGCAAATAGATCTGTGATAGTACGCCTGACCAATCTGCGATTTATGCACACACACAGAGCAAACAGGATTTCAAATGCCTTCCAGCCCCCAACTCAGGCGGGTCATCACGGCGCTCAAGCCATCGTTTTACGCTGCGCCGCAGTTACTGCACTACACTGTATAGATTTGATTTCCGTATGTTTGATTTCGTTTAGCGTTGGTTATTTGAAACTTTTGAACTCCGAAAGACTGTAAATATGTTAAATAGACTCTTGATGTTGGATTTCTTTTCTACTGACCTGTTAATGAAAGCATGAGGGATAAACAAAAAAATAAGGACTGCTCTGTAATTGGATGGTGGTGGAAATTATCACTCCCTCGATTTCGTTCAAATACTGGCCCTTCTATTACCCCCTCGGCTTTGCTTCGGGTGATAGAAGGACCGGTATGAACTCCACCTTGGAAATGATAATTTCATCCTCATGAGCAGTCAATATTTGTATATTTTCACTGAGACCTCTGGGACCTCTCTGAAGTTCTTTGTATCATCCATGCAAAATATCATTTTGTTGATAATTTTGTTTAATAGAACATTTAGTTTTAATAATGTATGTTAAGCCAAGTTAAACAATTATTGTTACTCATGTTCTGATTTGGGACAAGTTCTAATTAGAGATGAGTGAAAATATGAAAAATGAGAATGGGAGGATTGAGAACAGTATTCGTAAGAAACTGGACGGGAAATGGATAATGAGAATAAGGATATATATGGGAATGAATGAAAAACAATAATCATAAATAATGAAAGTGAAAACGAAAGTTAAAGCGTAAAATAGTTTGCATCAGTTTGTTTACAAATTACTTATTTAATTTTTTCTTTCAATCTTCAAGTTTTATTATATGTTACAAATAAAAAAAAAACATTTCAAAATGATATATGAAACAGCAAACAAAAGGTTAATATTCTATCGAATTAATATTAATAACAAGAGTAGAAAAAGAATAAAATGATAAAAAGTAGGCCTATACCAAGAGGGAAAATGAAATTGAAAATAAAAGGGGGAACAAAAACAGAAAAACAAACATGAAAATTTAAAAAATCGATAGCACATCATTAACAACCACCCACCCCCTAGAATCCCGTGGATTTTCCACGGGTCCTCCTAGTTCTATACTACAGCCATTAGCAGCCCCTCTGAAAATGACTCTCCATTACATCATAATGATATCAACAAGTGTGTTTGCTTACATTTTGATAGACTTGATGGTAGTAAGCATCTTTTATAAACTTTTAATAATTGCAAGCAGATTAAGACTTTTTCAGCTATGACACAGCTGCAAAAAATAAGTATTGTATATGTAGTGGCAAAGTGCAACAATGATCCTACATGTATTCACTGAGCTCTGTGTTTTAAGATAAAGAAATGTGATACACTTTAAATTGTAAATCAGCAATTAAAAAGAAATGGCATCATTTTGTTTGCATATGCAATATGAAGAAAGTATTTGGTTATAACAGGTTTTACATACATTGTACTTGTTTTTTTTATAATTTTTTTGTTGATTTTTTTTTTGTTGATTTTTTTTTTTTTTTTTTTTTTTTTGGGGGGGGGGGGGGGTTATACAGGTAAATACAAATCAGGATAAAAATAGATTTTGACTCATGTTAGGTTTGAAACAATACATATATTCATTAACAACATACCTTTGCAGTTTTTGTTTCTTTCTTGCGAGAAGTCTTCTCCTTCTTTTCCTTTGGTTTGGCAGCTGGTTTGGAGCTTTCTTTCTTCTTCTTTTTCTTCCTCTTAACAGGTGGGCTTCCATCTCTAAGCTACTCATGATATCAATAATAGAGAGAGGGGGAGGAGAAAGGGGAGGGGGAAGAAATCAGAAACACTTGTCAAATGGCCCCCAAACGATTCAGAGACTTACAATTATTTTCCTTTAATTTGTTAAGCACAAAAAAAAACTTTTACCATATAAGAATTCTTTCTTTATCGACAATCATGCCACATATTTATATTTTAAATGGGCAAAATGAAATATGAATATTGTGTAAATATGTTTTCTTCTAATGTTTCAGGAATGTAGTATGAATCCAATTCGACATCACTAAACAGAAAGCAAAGCATTAGGATTACAAGATGAGGGGATATGTCAAAATGACAATTAGAGCAATTTAAAAAACCAACCTCCTTCAAATTTCCTGGAGAAAAAACAATCTACTCTACCAACTGTAAGACCAGAAACTTTAAATATAAAGTTAGTAATGATTATGACATAAAACTTTCACTAACTGTTAACAAAAGCCTTTTCAGAGCATGCAAATATCTTTTGCGTATTTCTACATGTTATTGTAAGTCTTGCAAATTTAGACCACCCAGAAATTGGTGGTGGTTGTTATTTTACCGGACTGCTAAGAAAGCATAAATGATTGTAAGTAAGCAACCAGGCGGTCGACGGCTTTCAAGCAACCTTCTAGCACATGAAAATTTCATTTTACTTGTTTTACCTTGTTTTCATATTCATTGGCTCAGCTAGTCTCCTCAAATGGTAAATTTTTGTTTAGATGGCCTAACTTTTGGAACAATGTGTACCACGCTTTGTAACTGAAAGAAAAAGATGTGTGAGATGTCATGTGGAAAGAATTGTATTGGATTTGAACTTATCAATTCCTAGAAGAGACCAAAGTATCCAGAGAAGAGTTTTCTTACCTCATCTGAAGAGGAATCAGAGCGATGAGCATCACCTTTCTCACTGACATGCTCTGCACTGGTTTGAGCGACCTCCTTGGTCTCTTCCTTCTCCTTAGCAGCTGCTGCAGCGGAATGACTTTCAGCGATAAGAGCCATCAAAATCTGATCAATCTGTTTCTTCCTGAAAGAGACATAAGAACTCTTTGGAAGTCTTAAACAACTTATTTTTATATGATAAGTGGTGAAAACGGTTGACTCTTGATACACCCAGACTTTCAAACTCTCTCTTTATAAAAAGCAATAAAGAAAATTTGAATATGACTTGCAGGTCATTAGACATGGTGGAATCGCATTCAATTACATTGTGTATGTAGCTCTCAACTCTAAGTGAAAAGAGCCTTTAAAATCTGATCCATTTTTTCTTCCTAAAATAGACATTAATAACTTTCTAAAACTGTCAAGTTGGCTAATTTGACAAGTGATGACGATGCAAAATCTTAACAAATGTATCTCTCATGTATTTACATGTAAGCTAGCAAATGTAAGTGATTTGAAACCTGCTTCCACTGATTGTGGTGTTCATTTTAAAGTAGGATATCATAGCAGCAAATTTGGGACACAACAGTCTCATGTGTGCATGAAATCATATCAAAAAGATAAAATAAAAACTACTGAAGGGTTAACACTAAACTCGGTGGAACACCTATTTCTTTGTTTGCAACAATATACTCTTTAGCATAACTGTAGACTCTACTAACCTATCAGCAAGGTCAACTGTGAAAATACCCTGGAGTTTGAGTCTCACTTTCTTGGATGACAACGTTGACAAATCAGCTCCTTGAAGTATTGCTGCACAAAGGATTAAAAAAACATGGGATGTTGTGAATTTTGTGATAAGAACATTCATCAATAGAGAACACTAATAAAATACAAAATATAAAATACAAAGGGAAATACAGTAAATGTTAGCAGCCAGCGATCACCACTTGCAGTGGCTTACATGATGTACTAGCTACGGGAGAGTGGAGGGAGGTGAGAGTGAGGGAAAAGAACAAGATGAAGGAAAATGAAAAAAAATGTGAGATAATTGATGTTAATAAGCACGAGTAGTCAAGGCCTAGTACTACTAGGCTAGTAGTAGTTTGCTAGAAATTACTCTTCAAAGATTAAACTATCATGTGAACGCACCTCTTAGAGTCTTACAAGAGATTATGATAAAGGAAAATCACAATTTGATTTCATATTGAGTATTAATCCTGTACTCTGTAGATCTAGACAGAAACTCACTCTTACTAAAGAAGTCTTACTCTAGTCTTAGTGTTTCTTGTTGATAGTCACTGTGACTGAGCTGTGCCTGTGGCTAGATGATAGATCTAATCTTAAATATTTACCAACCATTATATATTCATATTGTTTTGACAAAGTAAAACATCAGTATCAATAATTATGAAAGAAAATACGCTTGATCATTCGTTTTCTTTGATGGAGATAGGAGTGCAATCCTCGTAATTTCTCTGACGCGAGATGATTCATCATTCCTGCTCTACTCCCAGACAGCAAGCGACCAGCGGGTGGCCGCTAGGCCAGTGCAGCCGGGGCGCAGAACTTCGGGCAATGCCACTGCGGATTCGGCTGCACTGCTCTTCAAAGTTCAACTTAGCTTCACAACAAAAACAATGTCGGTGATCTCGGTAGATCAGTGGGAATTTAAGGATAGAATGGGAAAACTCACTCGAAATTTCTCGCCTAAGGTCGTCCTCAGTTGGAGGAGCCATTTTCAAGAGTTTCTGGATATCCTTACTACGAAATTTCGTGAGAAATTTAATGAGAAATCTAAAAAATATTTTTACAAATCGCAGGAGTTTGTCCGCCTTTCTGTCTGATTGAAAACAAAGTTGAGGGCGCCCTACGTCTGGCAGGTGATTGGGAGGCCATCGCCAAGGGCCACACTATGAATATGACTGACAAAGAAAGCGGACAAAATATACAGTTCCTCAGGTAGATAAAGGAACATCCCTTCACTGTTATTATGTAAAAAGTGAATATGCATGTGACACCTGTTCTACACTTTTTACATAATGGCAGTGAAGGGATGTTCCTTTGTCCACCTGAGGAACTGTAGTGCCAGGTGATTGGGAGGGGCAGCTCTGACCAGCGGCGTAGATACGGTGAACGGTGAACGGGGGGGGGGGGGGGGGCACTCCCCCTTAAAATCGAATGGCCAAAAAGGAGGTGGGAGCGAAGGGGAGATGAAGAAAAAGGGAAAAGAACGTGAGATATAAGGAGCAACTGTATGCTAATGATGCGAATTCACCTATTATGATAAAGAAAAATCACGATTTGATTTCTAAACCTGTAAACAGAAACTGACTTTTAACGGTTTTTTGTTTGTAAATATCCCTGCAGTGGCGGATCCAGGGGGGGGGGGGGGCCGGGGGACTGCACTGCTCTGCTCTGCTCTGCACTGCCCGCCCCCCCCCCTTGAGAAAAAAATCATGTAAAATCACGTGATTTTTACCTTTTTTGGGGGTGGGCCCCCCCCCCCTGGCGCTCAAGGGGGGGGGGGTGCAAATTGAATTTTTTTGAGGATAAAAAAAAAAAAAATGTGCTCACTACCCCCCCCCCCCCCCCCCCCCCCCCCCCCCCCCCCCCCCCCCCCCCCCCCCCCCCCCCCCCACTGAGCGACTTTTCGGCCGGCGCGATTTTCAAATTTTCGGGAGCAAAAAAAAAAAAAGTTGGGCCCCCTCCCCTCAGAAATCCTGGATCCGCGCCTGTATCCCTGATACAGTCACTGTGGCTACCATATTTATTCCAAGGTAAAAACATGATCAGTATTGCTAATTGTCGAAGAAAATACAATCGATTATTCTTCTTTTAAAGTATTAATGTTAAATAGGATCAGATCAGTACAATAGGCATAAAGATGAAAAGATTATCTCCATCGTGCCAATCTGCAAACAAATGCTTGCTGTCGTAAGTTTTTTTTTTTTATCCTCTATTTATAATTTAATTGATTACTATGGATATCAATATTCTCACGTAAGTCGTAAAAGACCATTCCATGGCAAATTTGAGGTCCTTGATTGAATGAATTAGTTTTCTTAAGAAACTGAGATGAGAAAGTAGTTTCAAACGTTTTGCTATATATACGATCTCAAAATTGATAGCAAGAGCAATAATGATAGCGATGATGATAGTAATAATAACTTCTGGATTGATGAAGTTACAGCCTTAAAACAATGTGTGTATTTTTTAAATCAAATGTATTTGGTAGTCAAGTTGTTAATTAAACAAGCAATGTTTTTGGTTTAATTGCCTGTAGATAATTTTATAGCTGGGGAAATAGCGTTGAGTATAGGGTTAATAAAAAAAGTTTCAAGATTGAAATCACATACAATGAATATACCGGTATATATATTTCTCACAGCGTATGACACTTTCTAAATCAATATGTACGAAAATGTATCGAGCTACATTCTCTAAAAGCCTCTAAATAATATGTTGGAGGGGCGTCATTAAATATATATTTGATCATTGCCTCTACATGTATTATATCATGACAAGTGGTTGACATAAAGTTCAAATCCAGTTGATTCGATGAGGACATGTGTCATGTAATATGTTAATATGTAACAGGTAGATGTTATATTATGGTTGTAAAACCCCACATTAATTTACCTGGTTATACCTGTTTTTTTGTCAAATCAACGAAAATATTTTGTTCGATCTGTTCCGCTCTCTCCCTCTACATCGCCCCCCCTCTCTCTCTCTCTCTCTCTCTCATTGGCGTCACTTCCTGGCAAAATTTAGGCCTAGACACTGACAGGTTTTTAATTTTTATTTATTTATTTTCAAAGCTTTTTTAAAACATTAAAAATCTGCTAATAATTAGCGGCATATAATGCTGTTTTAATACACATAAAAATCCATCAGTTGCTGTCATAAAATAGGGGCATATTAAATACCAAATTAAAAAACAAACACAATGCAACAAAAATGCAAATCAGAAGGGAAAATACTTACATAAAACAACCAAATAATGAAAAACAACATTGTATACAAACAAATTGTATACAAACATTCATTTCATTAAACCAGAAATTGATAGATGGGGCGGAATTTTTCCAGACAGGCATTTTTTTTAGCTTGGCAGCCCCGCGTGCTGTAACGAATCGCATGTCGTATTTCTTTCTTCTCAGCCAATTCACAGCTGGTGAATTGTGAATTATACTAAGAAGAGAATTTAACCATTTGGTACAAAAAGTCATTTTTGAAATGTAACCAAGTTTAATACATAAGTCTTTGTGAAGTGCCTCAATACACATTCTTTCATCTGATAAGAATAATAGTATTTCAATGGTCAGCATGCAAGTGTTGCTAGGTAGGGCAGCCATAATGATTGTCCTACCTGGCGACAACTAATGTATGCAGTACGGATTCTGTCTATTGAAATGATATTATTCTTTTTTTTATTTGTAACATAATGTAAGAAGTAGATGTTATACCTTGGCCGAAAAGTGTTCCGCTCTCTCCCTCCATATTGCCCCTGCCCCCCCCCCCCTCTCTTCTCTCTCCCTCTCTCCCATTGGCGTCGATTCCTGGCAAATTTAGGCCTAGGCACTAAAACTATATTTTTGTTATGCTATTATTATTATTTTTCACTGGGGCCTACAGCTTTACAAGCTTGCTTTCATGTATAGGTCCCCCGTACTAGGTCCCATCCATATCTATGGTCCCATCATATTTCTCTTAGTTAAATCAGTACTCCATATTGACCACTTATCTTTATGTTATTTATTATGTATCATTGAAAAAACAATTTGTACTTTATTTGAAATGTATATGTAACATGAGAAATATGAAAATAAATGAAATGAAAAATTCCTATCCGGTGAATGAAATAGTTTGTATCGAGGCACTTCATAAAGTGCCTCGAAAATAGCCTACGTGACGTAGGTGGCGCCACTTATTTCTTACGAAACTCTGAAATTTATTGCAGAAAAATGGCAGCCTCCTGTGTACATCATGTGCAGATAGCTGTGAGAAATGGGTCCCGATATGTGCATAAATTGACATCTAATGTAAATTTTCAGTTATTTGCTGAGAGAAAAGACGCCAATAGTACTGACTGGGTGCTCAAAAGTGGATCAGCTGTATTTGTGGTGAGCGAACACCGTGCTGAAATCCTCCCGATCCAGGATTCGCAAGTTCCCCGGAACTCCGGGCAGGATGATTCCTCCGATAACCCGCTTACGTCACCCCCACCAGTGTCGGATGAGAGACATTCATTGTCGTCTGCTCCAGCCAATTTTCACAGCAATGTTTCGGAAATTCATCAACTAGGATATGTATCACCACCTTTTTCAACTCACAATTTAGGCTTTAAATTACCACCTAATGCTCTAGGGAATATAGATTCGGTTTGCAATATTGCTTTTGAAGTGTGTGACGTTGTTGCAACAGTAGAACTTGCGCAGAAAGGTGGTGCACAAGTTTTAGTTGAACCAACTGTGATCAAAGATTCGAGTGGATATGTGACTATAGCTGCAATCAAGTCATGTGTTGGGAATGTAGTGCATACGATTCTAAACACAGAGCACTATGAGGGTGTATTTTTACCAGGATTTAGTGAAATATCAAACTCAAAGTCAGATTTGTGCAATAATTCCATTTCATCACACATCATTTGCAACGGATCTAAGAGATGTGTTGGCCAGTCAGACTCTGACTATGAGCTTACAAAGGAAACGGTGACACATTTCGATCATGTAACATTTGCCATTCCAACAGAAACTTCAAATGAAGTTCTAGATTGGTATGAAAGGTGTTTTGGGATGAGGAGATTTTGGTTGGATAGGTGAGAAGTATTTCCAAATTTGCCAAAGTAATCTAGCTGCTTAAACTACTTAAAGTCAACTTATCTTATGTCGTATTAATTGCTGTACTATGATGCCAGTTGCCACTAGATTTTACAATAAAAAGATTCATAATAATAATTCAGCCACAATTATGATTTCAGAAGATAATTAATGATTTTTGTTCATCATTGTATTTATTTCTGTTTTAATATGTAAATTAAATGTGTTCTTGGTATGCTTGTATTTAATACATAAAGATGTTTGTAAAAGTGTGGAATATATCAGATATGAAATAGAACACAAGGTTAGAATTCTGGCAGGATTTGCCATACCTAGTACTGATGAAACCATTTTTAAAATAAATAGTTCATCATCAAGTGTGACTTTTCAAGTTCATGTAATTTAAATACTTTTGTTCTCTTATTTATGTCAGGAGGTGATAGTTAGTTTCAACTTCTCAGAACTGAATTTATTTACAGTTTCATGATTATAGTGTGTACAATGAGTTGTACACGTAGACTAGATCATCTTATAGGAAAACTGAAAGGGGGAGATAAGTTGAAGTAAAAGAGTAGACTAAAGGCCTAACAAGATCATTTGTTTCTAATATCTTGACTGCTTTTGGTTTTTTTCTTGTAATCTTCTGAAGGAACGAGGACAAATTAGAAGGATTTCTGGTACGAGGGAGCAGTGTAGGGCTACGCATGAAGGCTATGGAATACTGGAGATGTGCAGAGACTGGGTTGGTCTTTTCTGAGGAGCGTGGCAAAGAGAGAAAGAGGTCAAAGAGAGGAACCAACATGATGTTTGTTGTGGCAGAAGCATTACCAGATCAAGGTACATCTAGAGGTGACACACTCCAGCAAAGCATAGAGAATCAATGCTAATGCGTATTGACCTCTAGCACTGCATGCTTGCTGTGAGGCAGGTATTATTAGACTGATACACAAATATACACACCACACAATATTGCATAGACTGCACACAATCATGCCGATGCAGCTGTAAGCAAAGTTTGACTCTAGACTTACAATTTGAATTTTTTAATTATTTTTTTTAACATCAGTTAGTTGAAAAAAATGTATTTTACTGCTATTTTGGTGTCATCAATTGTCACTAAAGTACTGATTTTTAGTGAAATCAGTTGAGTTTTGTACAGTGGTGTTTGAAATGTTGAGCTCCCCTCACTTTTTTGAAAAAGTATGTTTAACAGAACCTGCCAGTGTCACAAAATATGAGATATCAAAATATGCTCATCTGACCGTAATGAAATGCCTAAAACCCCTGAGCTTCCAACATTTTAAAAGCCTGTTATATGTCTTATTTTCATGGAAAATCAGTTGGAAAAATTCAAAAATGGTTGGGAGAATTTACTTTTGGAGGGTGTGACGCACAGTAGATTTTCCAGTTTTTTTTTTGCATGTTAGAGAGTTAGTATAATAGAAGGAATATAATAAGTAAAACATTTCGTACAAAAATAACACAAATTTGTCATCAACCTTCATAAATGTTACCGAGTAACTTTAAGCCAGATTGATATTGTTAAGTTGATCGATAAAATCACTCAGTTCGATTTGATTGGAGATATATCTCATTAAAAACAGTGTAAAGGCTATACAGTCTCAAACAAACCTACACCATTAAACTTCAAGCTCACTTACACATGATATATATTGCGACACTTTCAAGGCTACTTATTATTTCAAGTTATATACAAAGGGCAACAGTTTCAATGTATAATGTACATGTAAGTTCTTCTCACTTAAATCATTGGTCTGGAAACAATTCTTTGCCCATTGTTGTATATTGTATTACATTTTCACTGACAATGAATTCACATTGAAATGCAAGTTTTCCAGGCTTATTTAGGAGAGCAGAAGATTGATAAGTTAAGTTGTACGATAACATCACTCAGTTTGATTTGGTTGGAGATACATTAACAACAGTGTAAAGGCTATACTGTCTCAAACAAACCTACACCATTAAGCTTCAAGCTCACTTACACACTGGTCCGAATTTCTTAGCATTTTGATTATTCCAGAACCTTGCAGTACATACCAATACTTATATGCGAGATGATCAACCTTTTCTGATCAATTCAACACCGTTTCTTTCACGGTGCAATTGCATGACCGGAACTCAACTTTATCTTTAACCTTGTGCAGGACCCAATCAGGTGGAAACGTTCATTGAGCAGCACGGCGGACCTGGCATTCAACACATTGGTCTCTACACCCCTGACATAGAATATACAGTAGGCCTGTTGAAGGAGCGAGGTTTGGACTTCATGGTGCCTCCAAGCACGTACTACACCGAGGTGAGAATTCAGAATCAGATTCAACTATTTCATTGAACATTGGTTGATGATAATAATAATATTCCGTTTTTATATAGTGCTTAATACATCTACGATGTCATTGGATTCAATGCTTGCCTGCGCACACTGTGAGCACAATCTCCACTCCCTGGGGAGTATTCCAGCCAGGCGTTTGACCAACAATGACGGTCGCATCCTACCGGGTACCCATTCAACACCTGGGTGGAGAGTAGCAAGTGCAGGTTAATATCTTGCCAACGGATATTAGTGCCGTGTTGGGATTTGAACCCTTGACCTTGCATCTCCATTGATTTAATCGGATGCATATCTATATGTTGATATTGCAGCAGAAGAAAAAATCTATCAGACTGATCTCTAGATGAGTGTTCAGGCGAAAGATTCTGGTTTATACTGGTACTATGTACTTATAAAATGCTAAGACTACTACCCGGTACCTACTTCCTTGTAAACTTTAAAGTTCGTGCAGGCAGTATGCTTTAGGTTGAGAAGGGGTTCAGGAGAACAACAATGACCTCTTGTAACAATTCAACATACATGTAGATTGCAATGCATGATGGTTTCTGATCAATAGTCTTTTGAATGAATGTATTAACTTAGGTTGGTAAGCTGGATGAGATGAAACTGGTTGGTAAGGATCCAGCTATCCTCAAGGAACTTGGTATCTTGCTGGATGCAGAAGATTTCCAGGACAAGGTGGATGCAGATGAAAAGGACAGTCCTGATGGAACGGATCCCAATATCAGGTAATTACAGATGACTTTAATTACTTAAAAGTTGTTTTAAAGCCTGTCTGTACTAGTTTGGCCAGAGGGGATTAGACCTCCCTGCAAGGTCACTGGCAGGTGGTTATCTCATCAAATCAGCTCTCAATTAATATCAGAAAAAGGGGATCATGGGGGACCAACAGGCCCCGAGGCATTGTTTGCTACATAGAGGGCGCAATAAGCTATAAGTAGTGCAGTGGGGCTTTAAATCTGACATCAAGCTCTTTAGGCTATAGAATGATTTTATGTTGGGAGTTGATGTGAGTCATTATCATCTCTTGAGAGCCATAAGTGTATTAATAATAATAATAATAATAGGCATTTCTATAGCGCTGTCTATCTAGAAATTCTATTCCGAGGCGCATTTTAATATTACCCCGGCTTTAGCCTAGCTGTTATTACAGCGCTCCAGCATTTCCAAGAATTAATTCCTACCAGGTACCCATTTATATCACCTGGATTGAGTGTGGCAAATAAACTTCTGTAATTCTAAAAGGGATTTGATGCCCTGTTGACTGCCAGACTGGCCTTCTTGTTCTTCACTCAAATCTATTGCCTTGAACTGCTATCCTTTCTTGTTATCTTTTCTCTTTGCCATTTTCACAAATTATGATTTCTTTTCATTTCTATTTGGTACTCAATTTTTCTTTTAGTACAAAATGTTAAGTAATAATAATACATGTCAACATGTTGATAAATCTATCCCCAGGAGATACAATGAACTTAATATTGCAAATGTTGATATTAATGACTAATGGGGCGTTGCAAATGCCCCAAATCGAGCGTAAGTCTTGCGATTAATTGCAAATTTGCAATTGATCGTAACTCAACTTTCTTGCAATGCCCCCTTAGTAAGAGGGGGGGGGGGGAATAAAAGCCAGACCTAGTTAACTTAATTTAATTGTTAAAACTTTAATCCTAACAAAATCCTAGAAAATTTAGGAGACTAGTGGGGAGTTGCAAGAAAGTTGAGTTGCAATCGATTGCAAATATCAGCTGCAAATTTGCAACTTGCAATCAATCGCAACTTTCTTGCAATGCCCCATTAGACATTTAATGAACTAAAATGAATATGCACAAACCTTAAAACACTGGAGAATAGACAACTGTTAGACTGAAGTAAGAAGGTATAAGAAGGTGGAATAGAAATTGAATGGGATCAGTTTGAAACATAAACCAGTATTATAATCATAATCTGACATTGATAAACATCTCATCTGAACATCCCCTCAAGGTATCTCATGCAAGTGTTCACACGGCCCTTCTTTGATCGAGATACATTCTTCTTGGAGGTGATCCAGAGGCATGGAGCTTCTGGGTTTGGAGCAGGCAACATAAAAGCCCTCTGGAGATCTGTCGAGGCATACATGGTGCGGAAAGAGAGTTTGGAAAAGGAGACCCGTGGATCAAAAGAGGTCTTGAATTACTGAGCTTTAATACTTTTCTATTACATTTTCTAGTCTTTCTGAAGTTTCTATGGAATTTCTCATTATAACAAGAGCTTGAGATGTTCATCATTGTCTTGTCTAATATATTTTATCCTCTAAAGTGTCTCTAAAATGTATTTTGTAGGAAATTATATTTCAATGAGGATACATGTATGAAATTATTTAATTTAATTCAGATCAATTAATTTTGCATCACTGATTTGTTGAAACTAGAGCAAAGAACTTTTAATGAATTCTGTGTACATCTCCCCTGTCTCTTGGTTAGGTTAGATTTTCTTAACCTATTAAGACACTAAATCAATGTTTTGCCAAGCCGGAATCAGGCAAATAGTATCGTAATACTTTGAATATTTATGTAACTTCTGAGAGTTATGAAGAAGTTTTATAATTTGAAAATGAAATCTAATTTTGTTTATTTTTTAAAGCTGTAAATGGTGCTCTCTTTTCTTTCTATTTGAAATTTATCTTTAGTATGAGAGTGTTTTAGAGAGTTTTTCATGTGGACAATCAACTAGTCCTATGCTAAATAGTAGAATGCACATTCGTTTTTCTTGAATGTGAGTTAGGCTTAGATTTGAGGTCAGTGCATTTGAAAGGAGTGATATATCTTATAATCCCCATACAAGCTTGATATATAACTCTGTTGTATCATTTTAATGTTGATATTTTCCTTTTAAACTACCGGTAGTATTAGACCTTCCCCCGTTTATTTACATGTAAGTTCCATACTATATGTAAAGGGCTTATGGAGTGTACATAAAATGAATGTCTAGTATACAAATGTATTTCTTTGAGTAGTCTTAATCTAGGGACCATGTGGTTCCCATGTGCAATGAGTTACAATACATAAATCAGAGTGGGAACTAATTTTCAGCTTCTTGAATTCTTATATAAGGTAAATCTCTTTTGACTGAAACTAATTTATGTATTTTCAAATTAATCAGCTCTTTATTTTACTTTACTGGAAATTCTTTTCTAAAGTACTTAACGTCTCATTTTCGTTTTATGTCATTTATTTGTTAGCGGTGTGACAGAGTTTCATTGTAACCCACTCTGATATTTTTTAAAGGGTTTACTTTAAAGATTTGCAATATCAAACAAGGGGGTCCTACTTTTGTATCATTACATATATAGGAGCATCATTAAAACTTTGGTATTATCTCAACATTCATAATGGACCTCTTTGGTAGCAAGCCACAGCTATAAACATTTTGTCTGGCTTACTCTCAAGTACATACTATAAATATGCAATAAATCAATGATACTTTGACACAAAATACAGCTTTTGACATGCCGATTTATGGTACCTGTTCCACTTTATATGCAAGATAGGTTGCGACTGATATTGACTCCAGACTAAATTGAACTACAAAAAAACGAGACTTTGATTTACTCATTTGTCTTGGAACATGATTTAAGAGACTTGTTTGGGAAAGGAAGATGTTACTTTTTCTTTCCAAATTATATCATGTGACTCCCCCCCCCCCCCCCAAAAAAAAAAAAAAAAAAATTGCTTGATTTAGAGGCTTTATTTACGTTTGTGAATGAATATCAGGTTCTGTTTGGCAATATTTCAGTCATCTAAAGTATTTCACCTTGAACCATTAAAGTTGTGACCTGTGTAACATGTTTATCGTGAAATAGCAGAAGTACTCATCCATCAAAGAATATTTGAATATTCTATGTCTTCTCCTCCTTTAGCTGATGACTGATATTATTTTTGCTTGCATCTACCCTGGTTGTTTGTATTGACACGCTTATCAACAAGGTAGCAAAAGCCTAGTAAAAAGCAGTTCAGCCTTTCTAGTTTTATGTATTTACTCTATGCTGCTTCCCAAGAGGCATCATGTTTTGTGTGTAAACTCGTACCAAAGTTACACGTTTTCTGTCACTCAAGAACTAATACTCTATGACTGCTTATGTTTAATTTTACTCTCGTTTCAAAATGATTTGGGAAAAATTAAAAAGATTAAGCAATATGTTTTGCATATATACTTATGACTGAAATTACCTTTATGTGAAAGGTATTAATATTCAATGAAGAGCTATTGTATTTTACTGCATATTTCCTAAAAAATAAAAGTATTTATTTAGGTATATGTCATTGCTGTCTTTATAAGGATGGCCCGAATAAAAATTATAGAAAATCAAACTTTGGCTTTTATTGCGTATAGATTGTAAATGAGTAGTTCAAGATATTGTAGGTGAGGAAGATTATTTGCAACAATATCATGATATTGCCTTCTGTATTTTAATATGACTTGAAAACAAATAAGAAGATAATGGAAATGGTTGTTTTCTAGTAATTTATGAGGGAGGAGAGAGAAATAGAGAGCGAGAATGAGAGAGGGAGAGAGGGAAAAAAGAGGAAGTAGGGAGATGGGGGAGACAGGTCTAGAAAGAGAAGGTGAATGGGGGAGACAGGTCTAGAAAGAGAAGGTGAATGGGAGAAAGAAAAGGAGAAAGATAAAGCTAAAAAAACGTGGAATAGACAGATCAGTATACTTGTGGAGAAAGAAAGATGAAAAAGGAAAAGATACACACGGAAATCAATATACAAAAAGAATTAAATAACAATATTGTTCAACATGACCAACAACAAACACAATCTTGTAAAGGAGGTTAACAATTTGTGAGTTGTGCAGCTGCTTTTAATATTTCAAGAAAAATACTTATCACCAAAATGATACAGAAAAGCAAAGGAAAGAAAAATCACATACATGTATTACCATAAAGAATGAAACATGATGACGTGGTAATTGAAAGCCCCTCAGTTAGGGAGACCTCTAAGAAGTCTCTTTTGTAGCTGCAGAATTTTATACTTTCTACAATATTTAACTGTGCTTTTTCAATAAGTTATCTCTGATAACTGTGACATGTATCCTTTTGCCAAAAATCCAATATTTAGAATGGGTAATGAAAAGATGTAATCTGGAGTTCCAGTAATAGAAATTAATTTTGAGAGCAACAGGATTAAGGTTTTTCTGAATTGTTCACTAAGATGCAAGTTGTTATGCACAGAAAAGAAGAGAAACAAATTCAACAAAATCTTGATACTGAAATCGAATATTTTCCACTTCAGGAATGGGACCTCACGTCATGGTTAATACGATAACCATTAATGTGTATCTTTCTTTGCTGATTACCAACAGCATACCAACATATTTTCTACCTAAATTGTAAGGCAGATATCAGTTGTTTTTATTTTTTAACATACGTGACAGTACAAGGATTATCTTTTTTTAATTACAAAAATATTGAAGGTGACTTGTGCAGCTATGAAAATTTGTATTACACAAAAATTATGTACTTTTACAAACTTGTATTCAAAATTAATGTACTGAAAGTGATAGCCCTCTGAAGATTTCCATCATTTTTAGTATAATCTAATCTACATAAAAACTAATAGAATATGAAACAACCTTTTGGCATAAAAGACATACACAATGGCAACTTAGTAATTCTCAAACTCACAATTTTAAGTAAATAGTATTAAAAAACAAATCTTCTGACTGACATTTAGAAAAAATAGAATACAAGGGCTAGCATTAAAGATTGACAGAAATGGCAAAAGTATGACAGATTGTTGCAATTACACTGTATCTCCATGTTTTACGAATAATAGAGGTTCTTTTTAAAGTATTTCTAATGTTAGTAATGACTGGAACCATGCATTGGGCCAGAGATAGAATAGAACATGCAATAATAATCTTAGAGTTATAGCGATACAGAAATAATTTTACCAAAGACATGCATATGTACACAAACACAGAGATGAGCCATGCTGTTAAAGCCGGATAGGGCATGAATGACCTTTTAAAAGTTATAGAAACACCACAATTATATACACAGTAAACCATCATATATTGTGCAGCATAAAAAAAAAATCAGCCTTCTGTGTAATATTTAGCCATTAAAAATAGGTAAATTTATTTACAGCTACGAACATCACAACTCAGTATGGACACGTGAAAAAGCATGTACAGGTAGTTGTATTTAAATGCTGTAAAAAGGAAACATTTTGTACTACATACAATATCTACTGTTCAGTTTACGATGATATTGCAGTCAGAACCTATCTTTTGCCATGCAAGGACGGATGTGAACATGCAACAACTCTACCACTAGACTATAACCTGATCTATCATAATGAATTTGAAATAAATCCAGTCCTTTTCTTTCTGAAACATCCAGCCTCATTCCCACAATGCCATGGTCAGCTGCCTAAGGTATCAAAATGATAAACTGCAAAGTATAATGAGCTTCACAATTCTCTCTACATGCATGCTCTACAATATGAAGATAATTTGGTAGGCTCCAAGCCTTTCATACAAATAATAAATTTGAATAGTTATCTTTGAAAAAACAGTCTATATCGCCCAAAAGAAGAAACAGTGTTTTATGTCTACACAACAACTAATTACTAATAGTTCTGATCAATATATCAGAATCTCAAATGACGACCCTACAATAGAGTGTGTACAACCTAAGCATACAGAAAGAACAATATTTACAGAACCAAGGATTTAAAGTCTTAAAGAATAATTCATTCTATATCTATAGATTAAAATATGGCACAAAAGGGTTAATAAAAAAAAAAAAAATCACTGTGATTAAGTATTTACTACATCAATATTGCATTCGCAGTACATTCTACAACAGAATGATGTTTAAAAAATTGACAAATAAAATAACCACAGTAACCATTATTAGAAATTTGAATATTAAAGGGACACATAATATATATATATATTCAGTATATATTTTTTACTGTAACATCAATGGAAATCACACTTTGAATTACCATAAACTGAAAGACATTTATTCTATACTCTATGAGTACAGCCAAAGGTGAATTATTAAATGACAGCAAAACAAAACAAAAAAGAAAAGAAAGGAAAACAAAACGAAAAATCTAGAAATAGTACTGCGTGTATAAAAAGTGGTCTCCTACAGAGTGAAAGACAGAAAATAGTTTATGAAAGATTATATAAGTCTTATTGTTGAATCATTATTGTAAACACATTTTTACCATAATTGATTGAACCTTATGATATATCAATTTATCATTTCATCATCCTTCAAAAGGTGATATCTCTCATTCACACAATATATGTCACACAGATTTTGAATCACATATTTGCATTAGATTATCATTAACAATTACAATTAACAATACAAGAAAATAACCATCAGACCCCAATAAACTACAAATTAAGCATTTTATGTCCATAACTACAAAGCAAAAAAACATCTACCAATAGTAATTCCTATTCTTTAGAAATAAGGCAACCTCATATGTGAAGCATTGAATATAACAGAACGAAAGGCACAATCATACATATACAACAGACCTTCATTACATTTACCTTTGAAAAATGTTCAGCCATCAATCTACATTACCTTTTAAAGTAAATTTGCTACTCCCATTATTAAGTGGATTAAGCTTCCAAAGTAGGTTACTCAACTTCAGCCATCAATATTATAAACATTAGAGGGGAGGTCCACCCTAATTTTGAGTTGTTTTTAATTTTATAATAGGAGTAGAAAAATGAGAGAAACAGGTCAGTGAAAATGATCATCCAGCCCCCCCCCCCCCCCCCTCCATGAAGAAAAAGAAGGAATTCTAAGTTACAAATTTATGGCACATATGGCGAAAACAGAAGAAGATGAAATATAAAGATAAATTCACATTTTCAAAAGTACATGTACGGTACATGTATTTCTTTTTAAAAGTAAGGTATGCTTTTAATACAGACACCATAAATACCACGGATTTCAGCCCACGGATTTCAGCCCATAGACTCAGCCTTCATAAAAAGAGCACACTTAAACATTGAGAATATTCAACCTCTAAAGATAGACATGAAAGTAAACCTCATCAATCAATGATAAGCTTTATGCAACGGGACCAAAGTCTACATAGGCCAAGCTCGACGCTAACTAATTCACAGGGGGTCCGAACTAAATTTCTAAAAGGGTCTATGTGCATGGCCCCATTGTTAAAATTCCAAATTTTATGGAAAAGGAGTTTAAAAAAAATAAAATTGTGGGCCATGTGGGGTCAACTGGAGAACACCCCTTCACACAAGTAACCCTTAATGCTGATCCTGACCTTAAATATAAACATATCTCAGTGCAATCCTAACCCTAAAATAACATTATCCCTAATCCTAATCCTAAACCTATCACTCGATGTAACCCTATCCATAAACTTAACCCTCAACCTAACCCTTCCCTAACCTTTACCCTAACCCTAACTTAAAGCCCTACTGCACTACTTATAGCTACTTGCTACCTCTATTTAGCAAACAATGCCTAATTGGTGCCTGTTGGTCCCCCATGATCCCCTTTTTCTTATCTTAATTGAGAGCTGATTTGATGAGATAACCACCTGTCAATGATCTTGCAGGGAGGTCTAATCCCCCCTGGCCAAACTAGTGCAGATTGGCTTTAAGCTTAATATGCATGATATAGTATTCTGCAATTAAGCCCCCCCCCCTCTCCCATCCATTTGCATAAGGCCTCTGTATTAAAGTGTTGACCCCTAACCTATGACATGAACACCTCTTCGTTGACCTCGTCGGCACCCATGCGTTTGTAGTGGAAGTTATCAAAGGCCAGAAGCTCTCCAGGTCTAGCTACGGAACTACTCCGACGTCTGCAGATGATGACCGTCACGATGACACCCCCAAGGATGCCCACTACAAAGGCTCCTACTACTCCTCCGATGAGTATCTTGTTACTCTAAAAGGTATAAATGATATAAATGATATAGATATAGATCTTGGCTGTGATTTGTTCTATTTACATGTCATTGATTGTTGTCATGAACATTTTCTAGAATATATTTAAGTTAGTATTGTATGTTGGGAGCCAGGGGAGTACAAATAATACAAATAATTCCTCTGGAGATTAAATTACGTTACATTGTTATGTTATTTATGTTATTTATAGTGATTTGTTCATGATATATGTTAATGTATTAATTGTTATATTTTATACTAATGTAAGTCATAAAACAATTTTTATGCCTTCCTTTTATTTGTTTTATTTATTTATTTATTTTATTCGTGCATGACAATAAAGAAATGCAATTTAAAAACAGTAATTAAAACTAATACAGGTAACGAAGCAAACAATACATGGATAAAAATCTAATATTCATAATATACTAACTAATAATGAATACATAACGATTAATGTCCACTTACTGGCATAGTGTCAAGGAAATTGACCATACTTTTCTTTTAAATAGCTACCGGTATTGCTTTATTCAATAATTCTAATTGATATATATATATACAATTATATACTTAATATGAATAAACCATGAATTACTTCATTAACACAAGCCGAATAGAAGGAAGGTTGTTTGTTTCACATGATATACATGTAGTAAGCTATCTTTCTTTTACTCAATTTTGTTTGATAAAACTTGCTCTTGATATATAACAGGCAATTTACATAAATCTTAACAAATATTTCACAGTTAAAGTTAGAATTATTTTCACAATTTGATTTCAGTTGATCATATCTGAATCAATAGCAAAGTCAAAGTACTGTTGTTTGCAGTTTCATGAGAAATATCATTTATTGCATAAATTTGATTAGACTATCACCATGATACTAAAGAGAATCAACCTCTTAAACATACATTTTTATACAAAACCATTATCACAGAAAACTACTCCTACTTAAAAAACTGTGACAAGACATTCACTTACGTGTTTAGCTGTTGCTTTAGGAGCGGAAGACGTTTTGGGGGCGCCTGTGGATGGAGGGGTAGCCGTGTGTGGAGGGGTAGCAGTCGGTGGGGGCGTAGCCGTCGGTGGTGGCGTAGCCGTCGGTGGTGGGGTAGCTGCTGAGGAAGACATAGCTGCTGTGGACGAATTTGTCACTGCCGAGGAATTTGGAGTCATTGACGAAGGAGCTGGTGTGGATGGAGGGGCAGGTGTGTTGCAGTTTGTGGACCCACAGCAGCGCACAGTCATATTGGTACCCTGAGAGTTGACATAACAAAATGAATGAAAGAAAGAAAGAGTGGTGGTTAGTTTTACCCGAGTGCTAAGAAAGCATAAATGCTTGTTAGTAAGCAACCAGAGGACCGAGGGCTTTAGGTCCTCTCCGAGAGACCTGGTAATGAGGATTTATGCCTTTATACCAAAGGGCACTAGCGCATCGCCTTGGTTTCGAACCCGGGTCGCTGGATTACGAGACCACTACTCTACCAACTGACTAGAAAGAGTTAAGATCCATGACAAATGCATCTTTAGTCACAATATATACATGTAAATAATGTATACATACATATACATTTACAGAGTGCATATTTGTTCACTGACTTCTCTGTGAATATGAGGAACACATACACTATAACTAGAGTGTTAATATTGAGAAATAGTCAAAATCAGTGGATACTAATATATAAGTATCAAGTGCGTATTTGGAAAGATATCAATTCTACAATACATATTATTCCTTTTTTTTATATTTTTTATAAATGTAATGCTTCCTGGGAGATCTTATTTACTGGGTGTAAGCCACAAATATGTTTAAACTATATTATTCCTTGTGGAGCAAAAATCTTCCAAACTTCATCACAAAATAAGATTAAAGGTAATACAAAGTTTTGGGAAATTTTGAAAATTGGGTGGATAGTGATTCTTTACAGTTTTTATATATTTTGATGCCCCTGTGGATGTATTATAAGCACTAGAAAATTTAGCCCCTAAAACACTTCTGATTTCGAGAAAATTTGAATACAAAAATTTACCGGTGCTCCCGGTAAATTTTGATGAATTTCAAATAGCGCCTACGGCCGTACAATGGTAGCTGCGACCATGAAAATCGCAGAACATGTAGTTGTGATATATAATTTCCAAACGGGAATAGGCAATCAGTCGGTTTTAGTCAAGAAACATTGTTTTATAGCTTAATTAATATCTTGACCTGGAGAGGGAGCTATACAACATAAAGATTGTATTATTTACAATTTCATAACTTTAGACTCGATTTCAACCGCGACAACGATCACTGAATATTGTAGGATCGCATATGCTTCCAATATGTTCATTTGAACCAATTTCATGACCCCATATCAAAACTTTGTAATACCTTTAAGTAACCGGTAGTTTTCTATCAATTCATATCTTTACTTCGCGTTTAAGAATAAAAAAATTTCTCTACAATATATTTGTTACTTTACAATTCTAGACCAAATTTTGACTTTTAGATTTTATTTGTCAAAAAAATATTTGTGATGCGATACAAAAATTTGAATGGTAAATATTGCCTTCAACACTAAAATTATTACACCAAGGCCTTTTTTCTTTTTCTCTTTTTTTCTTCTTCATGTACCTTTTGCTCGAACGATCCTTCCCTCAATGCACCATCCTGATGACAGTAACTCTGCAGCGTCTCATTACCACAGTAGTATGCTGTGGCGTTATCACCTTCCATGGTATCAGTGATGGTCAGACACATATTAGACAAGTCTCCACACGGTGTCTCAATTGCGTCTGCGAAAGGGAATGGAAATTCATCACTATATTTTGAAATTCATTTATATTCACTCAATTTCTAGCTACTCTGGTATACAAGTATAATAATTGCATCTACATTCTAATAATGGCTGTAAACTGTCTAACGATTGAGCTCAACATTACACTCATGAGTTTTATGTAACACCTGCAGTGTCGATTAGTATCCAGAGATAAAATTCACAGATTCAACAGATAAATGTTAAATTTAGTGTTTAATTGACCTGCAGCAATTACAGATTCTAAAATATTAAAAGTAGAAGGCAGTTCAAATCGTATTTCAAGGTTTGGGAGTTTAATGTTCTAGACAGGTATCTGAACAACAATAAGTGAAGTGAAAACAAAACATGAAAAAAGTAATGTGGTAAGGGTACTTGTGTGTCCTGGAAATGATATTTTGTATCTTATATCAAGGTATCTATTATCTTCTCCTAGCTTAGAGGTTGATTCCAACATTATTCCACACATCTCTATTCTCTGCCACCCTATAGTACACTCTTGCAGTGTCATTCCATTCCATGTCTTAATGTCCCCCTCATACTAATAGTTCTTGGTTTCCCTTTTGGTCTGGTACCTTCAAATTTTCCTTCCAATAAATCTTTAAAGAGACTCTGATGTATTTCAATCGACCAAAGTTGTTTACCTTTCTTTCTTTAACCTTTCATATCAGGATATTTAGTTTAAGCCCTGTCATATGCAGTATTTCTCTGTTTAATAGTTTTCATATCTTTCCATGAGATTCTCATCATTTTCCTCTACACCCAATTTTCAAATGATGTAATTTTCTTTTACAAACTCTTTATTAATCTCCATGTTTCTGCTTCATGCAACAGAACAGACCAGACAGAACCATTTCCATATCATTTCATATCAATTCCTTTCATAGCAAAAGCGCTCCTCACAATTTCTGTAAATTTGGCAGTTTAACGCTACGCGTACCGCCTTGACCGGACTGTGCGGTATCTGTGCAGTTCTGTGTGTAGAGAGGTCGGGCTGTATTCATTATTTCTTGGGGGTGCATAAATTGCTCTAATTATACGTACGCGTGTAATGCGCAAGTTTATTGTGACGGCACTAAACCCATCCCACTCATTGTTCCCCTATTTTCATAATGGTACTGACCCAATGAAATGTAGTGCAGTGCGCTCGTACGCGCTGCGCTGCGTGTGTACATGTACTGTACTGCATGTTCAGTTATAAGTGTATGCATAGCATTACGTACATGCATACAGGGCTAGCTGGCACAAAACCCTGGGTCGGGCTTCTAAAATGGGACATGAAGCATGATTTGACATGAAAATTGACGGAGCTAAAAATGAATCAATCAAAATGAAATTTATATGTATGAAAAGCTTACGTATCATATGTCATTGTCTGTGATTGAGGATTTACAAATTTGACGCAAAACGCGTTGCTGCAAAGTTAAAGATTGGTTTATTGAAAGGCAATCGAGCACAGTGCGACCGATCCATTGACATTGTGTATGAGAGAGTAATTTTTTTTAAATGGATTGTAAAGTTCAACGTCAAAGTGACGGAGGTTTTTTTTCAAGTAAGGGCATGGTTTTACATGGAATGTAAAGGAAATGTTTCCTTCTTCTCGTATCTCGATTGAGGATATTATTCTCAATTTCGATTTTTAATGGTAAAGAAAAGTGTAAAAAGATGTCGAGAATTTTACCATATGTCATGTAATATAAAATGCGCGCGGGTCAGTTGATCTCCCAAAAGGAGCGCGAAGGAATTGATATGTAAGTTCAATTTTCACTTTTGGTGGTTAATAGCTCTCTCGGAAGCATGTTACAGGCATTAAAAATGAGTATAGTATGGCTGCTTCTATGTTACATTCTAGATAATCACTGCATTTCATATCAACTACGAAACATAGGAGTGTTATTAATGCTTTGACAGAGTTAATCCTGCAGTTCCTGCTCCCCCACTCTCTCTCTCTCTTTCTCTCTCTCTCTTTCTCCCTCCCACTCTCTCTCTCTCTCTCTCTCCCCCCTCTCCCCCCCTCTCTCTCTCCCCCCCTCTCTCTCTCTCTCTCTCTCTCTCTCTCTATGCAGACAAAACTATATGTACTCTTCAATGAGCCAAGGACTATATCCCTGAATGCTGATCATCCATACCTGTAGCAGTGCCAACAAAACAACTGTCCACTTTAGAGTAGTTTACATTTTCTCTCATGATAAATGAGTCTATTGTGTTACACAAACCACCAACACAGCATTGCCATTGCGTCTGCAAAGGTAAAACAAATAGGAAAGGAACCTTCATTTATAAGTAAATACTAGAGTATTGACTCTTCACTTATTCTTATACAAAGATTGTAATACTGGCATACATGTACGTTAAGGCCATTAAAAAAAATATACATGTTTAGCGTCCCCACCCGCTTCCTTTTTGGGGGGCCGCCTCCTATTTGTTTTGGGGTTTTTTGTTGAAATTTTTTGATTTTTTTTTTTTTTTTTTTTAAGAAAAAAAACTATGAAAAACACTGCTAAAATGGATCTATTTCTGATTTAAAAAAATAAAAATAAAAAATGTCGGCGGCCATCTTGAAAAATAGCCCAAATGACAGGAAAAATGTACTGAGCGGCCATTTTGAAAGAAAAAAAAAGGGGCCTCCTCCTTCCTGTTTTTCCAAAAAACAGGACGCTAAACATGTTTTTTTTTTAAATTTGGCCTAATGCATAAAGATAAAGTTTCATTTACTTCCCCAAAATGCATCGTCAACACTGACATCACTATGTTCTACTGACAATACCAAAGAGACCAATTAAATCCCCCTCCCCCTCTCCCTCTCCCCTTTAAATATCTACAATGTAGCTTTTATATTGTAAGTAAAATTGACTACTGCCCTTAAACTACATGAGACACTCAACTTACATTGCTTTTTGAGTGCACACTGACATTTTTGCCAGTCAGTTGACTATTATAGTCTCCTAACAAATAACTTTCTCATCTTTATCTAAGGCGAGAGTTTTTTATTTGAACTTGAGATATATCTCAAAATACATAAAGTAATCTTTCGATTATTTATATTTCTTTATTTCTTTATATTTCTATTTCTTATTTTTGATTTTGTCTGTTTTAAAAGTACTAATTTGTTATGTAAAGTGCATTGAGCAATATTTTATTGGCTAAATTGCGCTACAGTGGGTGTATATAAAAAAAAAAAAAATTATGTACATGTATTTATGTAACTACTTTATGTTAGTAATACAAGCCCAAAACAAAATAGAGAAATGGAAAAAACTGATCACCTTTAATTCTATTGAACCGAGGTATCCCCAAATACTGCTTTGTATAGTGTTAACCTAATGATTGTTGAATTCTCTACTTCCTGTTTGCTTAATACACGGGCCACTCTATTCCTATGAAGGCAATGGCTTAAAGGTATAGACCAGTTTTGGAAATACCCCCCTCTCAAAAAATGAAATGGAAGCTCTTATTACCAATCATGTGAAAGAATATGTTTTTACTAATACGTGAGGATACAAATTTTGCCGGGAAACCGCCTACTATTGTCGAATTGATATATTTGGTAAATTATCATATCATATCGATCTGGCCTGGATAGATATCGCATATGCACTTCAACATTGAACATTTGGGCATACATTTCTGTTTTTTGCAAATTTAGGTTGAACTATTGCCATCTAAACCTCTGAAGGCAATATTTAAACAATATTGAATGGATATTTTGCACCCAAACCCTTGAACCGCAATTTTACCACTACTGGTCTATATCTTTAACAGTGACGTTTGCAAGGATGAATTGAATACGTACCTGATTCTCTGTGCTGCCATTAAAGCCAACATCATTACAAGGCGAGTCTGGGACTGGACATGAGAAGGAAACAGTCATGTTGTCTCTGGAACCATTTTGGTAGGTCTTTGTGACAACACATCCGATCAGACTGCCATCTCCTGCAGAAGTGGTAGATGTGGTTGCTGGAGGTGCAGTTGTTGTTCCATTTGTTGCTCCATCTGTTGCCCCTGGAGTTCCTCCTGGAGTTGCTCGTGAAGTCGTGGCTGCTGATGATGGACCCGGGGTCATTGGAGCAGATACATTAGTCAATGGTGGAGGAGTTGTAGAGGTTTCATTGACACTTGAATTAGAATTTCCTGATGGTGCCTCAGGGCTTGCAGATGCAGATGTTGGCGAAGGAGTTGTGCTGTTGTCAGGAGTTGTTTCATTGCCAGGAGTGGTGCTTGATGAAGGAGTTGTACTGTTGCCAGAAGAAGAAGCGTTGTTGCCGGAAGGAGTTGTTACGTTATCAGCAGAAGCGGTGCTCGGTGGTGTTGTCTGGTTACTTGACTGAGATGTTGCTGGTTGCCCTGTGCCGTTGACGCCTGTTGCAGGAGATGGTGGCTGTTGAGTTGTTGGAGGTGAACATTGTTGTAAGACGATAGACTTGGTACTTGCCACACGCAGTTCTCCATTCACAATGTCTACACTGCCCTTGTAGCAAGAGAACTCACCTTCCACCAAGCTATTTGGAAACAAAAACCATACAAGACATGTAAACAGCATGAAATTAAACAAACAAATGTGACTATTAATACAAATGAAGAATATGCGAGTATATACTGATTTTGTTTTGTAAAGTTTTATTTTTCATCGGATAGGATCTTTAAAAAATTCAGCCCTTCAATTATGATTATTCTGAGATGTGGCAATACATGAGAAAAACATGGCAAAAGTGTCTACAAGTATTGAATCCAATGACCATGTAAAGCGCTTAGAGACATCGTAGATGTATTACCGGTAAGCCCTATATGAAAGTGGAATATTATGATTATTATTACAGAGAGAGTGAAACCAGGAACTACAAGTGTATTTTACAAATGTATTCGATTTCAAAAGGTGCTTATCCCACTTGATAAGGAAATGCTGATAATTTATCATGTCATTACTGTGAAACCTATACTGCATTCTCCAGGGTTTGGAGTGAGACAGGGAGTACAACATATTTAGTCTAGAAGGAACTCTGTAAGACTTTAACATACATGATACAATTGTTGTGTAATGTAATGTTATTCACCCTTTATAATTATAACATTCACCCTTTGTAATTGAATTGACTATGTCATCTCAAGCGACTGATCTATTCCGCTTTATATAACTTTGTTCACTATTTGGGTGTTTTTTTATAGTTTATTTAATTTGAAATCTTATTCTTCGTCGTCAATTTGAAAATCTTCATTATTATCTGGATTTCTTTTTTCCACTGTTCTTTGCAATTACGGTAAACAACTCCTTCATTTTATCAATTGAAAAAAGGTTTAGTATTTAGTAACACTGGAAAATTGTCAATGGCATACATGTACATGTACTCAACCAACAAATTATGACAAAGAAATGAAAATAGATTTATTGCAATAATCACAGTTCATATGTCTTTTTTGTATAGGGACATTACATGTTCTGTCTCACATGCACATAGATCATTTAATAATTCATGGTCAATTGGTAGAAAGTTATAGGATAAAACTGGCAGATTAGGCACAAAAAAAAACATGTTTAGGGTCCTCCCTTTTTTTCTTTTGTTTTTCTTCATATTAATGGCCGCTCGTCATATTTTTTAAGACGTCAGGCGAAGCTATTTTTCAAGATGGCTGCCAGCTAAGCTTTAATATTTTGTTTAATTTTGGTTCATGGCAGAAAAAGGATCATTTCATAATTCCTCAATTAAAAACAAAAACAAACAAAAAGCAGGCAGTCTCAAAAACAGAAGCGGGTTGGACGCTTAACATGATTTTTTTTAAATTTCGCATTATGAGACCTATTTTTCTCCTCAATAAATAGACATGATTCAGATTAATTATTACCGCGCCCTGAAGAGTAAATCCTGCACAACTGAATTACCATTTATTTTATCATCTCCATAATTACATGTAGGTCCGAAACATATCACACATCCAACAAAAAAAATTCATAAAACAGATTTAGAGTTTACTATAATTATGTGACATAAAATATTGCATTAAACTTTAGCTTTCACGTTATTTCAGTAAAAATAACAATGACCTGGGGGGTGTTTCAAAAAGCTGTTCATAAATTACGCATGACTTTACGAACGACTTGAATATGGAAAGCCAAATGGGATGCTCAATCCTTCTTAAATGCATCAACTAAAGTTGATGCAGCATTTCACATTCTCTCTCTCTCCCCCCCCCCCCCCTCTTCTCTTCTATTTTTCTTTTTCTTTACACCAAATACCATTTTCCCCTATATACATATAACTTTCTTCTTTCTCTGTTTTTCTCTGTTTTGTTGTTTTTCTCATTCCAGTTTGCTTTTTTCCTCTCGATCCCTTTGTATATATTTTCATCCTCTCCTTTTCAAATTTCAAGCTATCCCTTTTGTAAATATTTCCCCCATATTTAATCATGTGTAGTTTTGATAACTTTGAAACATTTTTAAAAGTGAAACATTGATGGATTATGTTATATGGGGACCTTGCTCTTACAAGCCCAGCTTTTCTAAGGTCTCCACTTTCTTTCATTTGGATTATATATGGACTTAAAATTGCACTTAAATTGTTTTTTCTTATGCTGTTTTTTGTTCTATTAATATTATATGTAAAAATGTTGCGAAAGAAAGAAATAAAATGAACCTTGAACCTTGAACATTCTTATTATAACAAACATTTTTTAATCCAAAGTATATATTTTGCCATCATTTAATTGAGGTTATTGGAAATATAGTCACACTTTGTTAAAACATCTGGAAAAACTTTGGGCATCCTATCTAGCACTTGATATATAAGTCGTTCGTAAAGTCATGCATAACTTACGAACAGCTTTATGAAACACCCCCCATCTATTTGATTACAGTTTACTACAGTTTACTATACTTACAATGGCCGATTCATTATCATCCAGCAAAAGAGAACGAAAGTACACAAACTTGTGACTCTCCATTGTTGAGCTGACGGCATATTGATATATGAAGTTCAACTCAAAAGTGAAACAATCCACGATTTTTCCAACCAAAATTTAGAAACATACACATACAGGTTACAGTGCATAAAATATCTTGCCCCTTCTCAGACTCAGAATTGGCAAAATGGCAGTGCTCCAAGTCTATGCTCTTTTGCTTCCGAATAATACAAGTTGCAGATCCGGATCCAGGAAGCTAACTTCGACAAAAATCCTATCGTTTAAATCTAAATAATCTTGCCCCTTCTCGATCTCAGGCTCAGTTGTCAGTGCTCCAACTCCAAGTCTATGCAGTATGATCTTTTGCTTCCGACTAATTACAAGTTGCAGATCCGATCCAGGAAGCTATTAAACTTCAACAAGAATCCCAACGTATTTTGTTGATATCTCGACAAAGTTGCAGATTATAATATTTACGACATCAGCTTTATACACGTGACGTAGTACACAGAATAGAAAGGTCGACAGTATTCATGATCACTACCGTGGCTGTGGAATGAGTCACTGTAAACTAAGTATGCACACAAAATCCATTCCGTACTACTACTGTACTGTACAAGGCGCGCGTTCCCAACTCGTGACTATGTACACTGTACATAGGCATTCAGCGACCATCAGCGTGGCCTTCAGTAGCAAAATTTTCCGGGGAATTCCCAAACCGCCGCGGCGCCAAAAGAAGACTACGCGAGTATCGACCTACCAGTGTGTGGCAGCCGGGTGAAGTGATGGAAGGGGTGTTACCCCCCCCCCCTCCTCCTCACTCAAAACCAGGGAGTGAGTAACCATGAACCTAATACATGGAGTAACTATCTGATCAAACAGATATATCTCCTATTTAGCCCTTCATCTCGATATTCCACCATTTTTTAAAGGTGTCGAAGTCGAGTGGTTTGAACACTTTTTATGTGTGTGTTTTAGAGGAACCCCCCCCCCCCTTGGTGTTTAAAAAAAAAAAAAAATGATTTAAAAAGAAAAAAATTGTGGTGATGGGTGACCCAAAAAGCTGACCTTACCCCACCCCCCAACGAAACGAAATATCGATCGGCCAAAAATCTGACTGCTAAGAAAGCATAATTATGCTTGAAAGAAGGCAACCAGGGGACCGACGCACAGTGGGCCAGGGGGGAACCAAAGTGCGCCAAAACTCATTTTTGGTGATTTTTTTTTCTTCAACTTTTTTCTTGCTCAGTTGAAAGGTAACACATTGAGGAATACCTCAGTAAAATATTTAATTCCGGTATGCACAAGGGTATAAATTTACTCCTTCAAACAGCAAAATCCTACATATTCACAGTTTTAGTGCAAAAGTGACTTATTTTATAAATCTTTCAATTTAACATGTAGTTTTTAAATTATTGATATGAAATTGCTCTCACATATTCCTGATAGTTCATTTTGTTGCATGGATGGGGTAAAATTGATAGAAACACAATCTTCATGATATAATATAGGGTAATTCACTGAAAAATGGACTAATTATCCACGTTTTTTATAAATGCTAAGAAAATGTTTAGATCTCCTAAGAGTTCCGCTTCAATTTTAATACCACCATTTTTTCTGATGTCTAAGCTTTAAGTTGATACCAAATTTGGCTGCCCGATCATGCCCGTTGTTATGTTAGAGCCGATTTCCCTTGCCACATTGCCCCGAAAAATGTGTTTTTTTTAGGTCCGCGGCTGAATCATGAAGGATTCGCGGTCATAAATCACGGGGCGTGGGGGCGCGTGACACACGTTCTGACACCGTGGACCAAAATAAACACATTTTTCGGTGCAATGTTGATGATGATGATTTTTATTCGACAAGCTTCCAACATACAACAATATATAATAACAACAGATCAGAAATAAGTCAGCTTGAACAGGATAACCCACGAAAGCTCGAGAGCATATTTCCAGTGGGGTCCCCATGTCTGTATAGAGACATGTATAAAATTAATAACTTAAACTAGTAATAAAAGTTTACAGACATATAAGAAAAATAAAAGAAGTACTTATTAAAGATAATAATAATAACAACATTAAACTGATGATAGAAATGATAATAAGTACAAGAAGAAAAGGAAGATTAAGGAGATGAAGAAAAAGAGGCGGAGGAAAAAGAGGAAAATAACGATGTATTTGTAGAATTTCTTTAACGTACGAAAACATATACAAAATGAAAAAGTATGAACCGGCAGAAGAATACAAATTTCAATCATAATGTTACAAGGCTCTAACATAATAACGGGCAGAATCGGGCAGCCAAATTTGGTATCAACTTAAAGCTTAGACATCAGAGAAAATGACATCAGAGATAATGTTGATAATACAATTTAAGCGGAAATCCCTGGCAATCCAAACATTTCCTCTGGATTTATAAAAGATAAATCCCCCCAAAATGAGTTTTGGCGCACTTTGGTTCCTCCCTGGCCCACTGTGCGACGGCTTTAAGTCCTCTCCGATAATGAGGAGCAATATTACCAGCGGGCACTATATATCGCATCGACTTGGTTTAGATCCCGGGATCTCCCGATTACAAGACCACTGCTATACCTCTGACAGGCGCGGATCCAGGATTTCTGGCGGGGGGGGGGGGGGGGGGCAAATTTGAAATCAATTTGATTTTTTTTTTTTGCTCCCGAATATTTGAAAATCGCCATCACGCCTCCACGCTATAATATGGCAGTACCGGTCAAATTGTAAGGAAAGTAAGCACCAACTTTTAAAATTTTTTTTTAATCTAGTTAGAGATAATAAATAATGTTGATGAATGATTTGGTAAAATTTGTTTTACTCGTACTCTTCAATCATCAAACTATCTTTAACGGTAAAATCAATAATGATCATTTTAGCTTTGAAAGCAAAACACGTCAAAGCCTTCAGAGTGGGAGTAAGGGGTAAAGTGATTTCCTTTTATTTCAGGGGAGGGGAGTCCTGATACGAAAATACAAAACAACAATTTTAATAGAGATTTGGTTTGAAAAAAAGATTCTTGATCACTTATGTTTAACCTCGGGACGGCCGAGATGATAATCTTAGGTAATTTAATCACTATTATTGTATAATTGTTACCATGATGATGATGATGATGATGATTATTATTATTATTATTATAATTATTACTATTATTATCATTATTATGGTTGGTGTTGTTATCATCATTATTATCATCATCATCTTCATCATCAACATTATCATTCATGATCTTCTTCTCTTTCTTCTTCTTCTCTTCTTCTTCCTTCTTCCTCTTTCTTCTTCTTCTTATTTATTCCCCTTCTTCTTGTTTGATAGTTTTTACTTGTTGCCTTATTGTTTTTATAATCTATTATTACAAAGAGATCGTGATATAAAGCATATAAGAAACTGGCAAACATGCCAGAAATGCCCCAATTTTCCTTTTTTATTTCTGTGCGCGCATTAGCAATACCGTACTTTTAAATGGCCGTAAACACGTGTGTGTGAACTTTGAAGGCAAGAGAGGAACTTTCTGATAAGGTAAGTCGAATTCCTTTGTTAATTATAGAAAATAAATTACATTTTTAATGACATCAATGGTAAGTTAATAATAAGAATTTTGATAAAAGCATTTTAAATATCTTGTCTCGTCTTGTTACATTGATTCATCGTTTTCAATCATGTCCAAAGTTTACACCGTGCTGATCGCGCAGCTCAGCTGACGCGGCCGCGGATCCCAGATGTGTGCTCGCCCGGAAATCTCGGCCAGTGCTATCTATCTGTGTCCGTAGGTAGCCCTAGCCCGGAAGAGGTCCTAGAAATAGTAGAAGACAAAAATGATGCAACAACTGGACGCTCTCTTCTAAGTTCTAGGAAACTTAAACCTACTGTTGCCTTAATTAGCACCTATTTTTGCCTGCATGAGCCATGAAGAGTGATGTTATAGTAGGGAGGCCAATGCCCAAATCTAACTTTTTAATTACTAATTTGTTTATAATAAAACTAAGATTAAAAGAAAGCATTTACCTTCACTAAGAAAATTTTTGGATATCCAAGCAAGCTGATACGACTGTTACAAGCACTGTATGATCAATCCCAGAGTACGGTCAGAGTAAATGGAGAGCTGACAGAGTGGTTCAAGACAACCGTAGGAGTCAGGCAGGGGTGTGCCATCTCCCCACAACTTTTCAACATACTCCTCGAGCTAGTTATGACCATGGCAATGGAGGAAGTCCAAATAGGAGCTAAAATTCAAGGAACCTGCATAAACAACTTACGTTTTGCAGACGACATCGTCTTGATAGCCGAGACTCCAGAGGAACTGCAGACACTGGTTGATAAAGTCTACAAGGCAAGCTGTGACCTTGGTCTCAAGGTGAACATAGCAAAGACAGAAGTGCAAGCTATTAGCAAAAGCAAGTGCAACCTCAACATTGACATAGCCAACGACAGACTAAAACAGGTGGAAGATTTTGTGTACCTGGGAGGGAAAATAGCAGAAAACGGCTCAAGTACAAGTGACATTAAGAATCGTATCAGGAAAGCAGGGGCAGCTTTCCAAAGGCTAAATGACATTTGGACATCAAAAAGCATTAGTAGCCACACGAAGATGCAACTGTACCAATCACTCATCCTCTCTATACTGCTTTATGGGGCGGAATCCTGGACAGTTAAAAAAGAAGATAGCAACAGACTTCAAGTGTTTGAAATGGCATGCCTTCGTCGCATAATGGGGGTGACAAGACTAGATAAGATCCGTAACACACACATCAAAGAATCCCTCAACCTCGATCAAGATGTTATGGACAAAGTCTCCACTAAAAGACTCAAATATTTCGGCCACGTCCTAAGAATGAAACCTACAAGATACCCCAAAATTGCCGTGGAAGGAAAGGTCACAGGAAATCGACCCAGAGGCCGTCCACCCAAAAGATGGCTTGACTGCATCTCAGAGGACTGCAAAGCAAGATCCATACCAAGGCTGACAGATGCATCAAGACTGGCTGCGGACAGAAAAACTTGGCATACCATCACCATATAGAAGCCATCACGAGGCCCCCGGCCTGCGTGGACGGCATAAGTCAAGTCAAGTAAGTCAAGAAAATTCACCCATCTGCCGACTCCAGAAGTTCCATCAAATAGGAGATATCCAGCTTTTAAGAACTCCCTTCCTTCTACGGCTGGCCGTCCGTAAGAGCCTTGAAACAATCAATTTCATGGTCCCAAATATTACGTCGAGAATTAGACAGGCCCGAGGGAATGGGCGTGTCATCATGGTCATTGCCCGGACAACAAGTTCAAAACTTCGCGCGAAAGTACATTCATCATCACCGGCTAGCCTTGAATTAGTCGCACACACCGACACAGTACTACAGGCCGTCCAGGTACGGTAATTGCATGCAAGCCGCAATCGAGCCATGCTAGCCATGCCATGGCATGGAGGGTCAAAACTTAAAACATAATGAGAGAAAGCTCGAAAGCTACTCATTGTAAATTAAGAAAATTATTGAAATAAATAAATAGGCCTACCTTAGTTTGTATTCCAATTATTTCCTCATGAGTGAAGATCAATTTGACACTATCAACGATCGATAAATCCAACTTGCACAGAACTTTGCAGCAAACACAATACGGAATCAAACATAGTCAATAGGACTGCACGCATTGATAGACGTGTACTGACGGAGATATTTCTCTCCCTCTCTCTCTCTCTCTCTCTCTCTCTCACTAACCATATGATGATATCATACACTAAAACACACACGTTAAACCATGGCATTCATTACACTTCTCAATTGGAGTATAGACTGCTCACGTAGACTTTTTTTTTTTTACTGAAATGTCTTTTTTTACACTTTCATACATTACTGCACGACACTGGTGTCTGGTGCTGAGAAAAGGGTACTATGTGTGAGACTACGTCAAATTTGTTTTGCGCGCGATGAGACCGGACCTCATACATATTCATATTATGATGTCGCAAGACTTCTATTTTGGGCTGGAACAATGACGTATCTGTTCACAGTTTTGCTCCCCAATTTGAGATGGCTCTAGCTATGGGTCTCAAACCAACGCAAGATTGACAAAAACATCGTACTCTATCTACCTTCGTATGTGCAGTTTGTAAAAATCTGCAATTAAAAAGATATAATCGTTTTTCGTTATATTTTCTAGTTGTTAAAAGTGACATTTGTGCACAACTGATATGTTAATCTCTATCAAAAGTTCTTTGATATTAAATTGATTCCATATTTTTAGGCTCTACCTTCAGTCATTGAGAAGGATTTTAGTGAGCTAACCTCATCGCCCTCTAGAACCCTTCTAGTTTCTCATATGTGCGCGCCAAGGTCGTCTGCTAACATAACTATTGGATCTAAAAACGTCAAAATCTGCAAGATCGTCAACAAATGGTGAAAGACCGTTACAGATCCGTGATTATAGGTATGTTGTGGAGTGTGTAATTGTGTATTTGTTATACATTTTATTCCATAGATATTTGTTTTCTTTTTTTTCCCCATTTTTTTTCTTCTGGTAATTTTCTGACTTGGACGACGAGCGCACAAATCGTAGGCGTAGAAGCCTTACGCCCGGGCATTGGCCTCCCTAGTTATAGGGATTGATATCGTGATAACCGATACCGATACCGATATGATCGGGAGAGGGATCGAGAGAGGAGAAAATGGACGATTGTCTGTAAGATTCCGATTGTTGTTTCTAAGGCCGTTGTCGCCTTATTAAAGGTGTTTTAACCCAATTCCTGTCTGAGATCTAATCCTTCCTGTCTGTACATAGTGAACCCCCTTATACTGGCGTAATCGGCAGGGATTTCTTTGTGCTATGGCTTTTTTGGAAATCTAAGGATTGGGTGAGAAATTAATTGACACGGTTGTTTCATGCAGTGCCAGTGTGTGACTGTTGCCCCACTTATTGTGCAGGCCTATAGGCCTACTACTAGTGCTTGTTGATTTAACAGTAGATCTAGGGTCTAGATCTAGGTCTAGACTCTACAGATAGACTAATCAAAGTTAAGGTAGCTATTAAACAAGTAGTCTAGTATTGAAGTAACATTAAAAATGAAATAGAAAAATAAATAAATACATAGGGTCTAGACTAGACTAAATAAATAAAAGTTTGATTAAAATAGTAGATTTAGAAGTCTAGACCACTCTCACTAACCATACACCATACACTAAAACACACACGTTCAATAGGTCACTAAATTAAATTTAAACTAGATCTAGACTAGTCTAGTATAATATTCAGTGCTCAATAAAAGATAAAATTAACCATGACAGACCGATCAGCATATCTCGGCAGATTTACAGCTGAGCACATAGCACACTTGTGTGAATTGAATCATATTGATACCAATGCTGTAAAGACCAAGCAAGAGCGGATCTCATGTTTATGTGATTTGCCTAAGCTGGTAGAGGATGAACCAAAAAATACAGGTGTGGGTGTGGATGACCTTTTGCGGGTCATGAAGCACCTTGAAGATTCTCATCATCATGAGACTGAGAAACTATGCAAATCCTTACTGTCTGCTGCAATCGGTAGCTCTGCACAAACTGGTCCTCCGTTAAAGGGATTACATCAGCTAAGTAACGATGATGATACGGTGTGCTACCTTAGCACTTTTGAGCGACTAGCCCTGGCAGCAAACAAGCCAAAGAGTGAATGGCCTCGGCTGTTAGAACCATATCTTACTGGAAGAGCTCAGCAGGCATTCCACGCCCTGAGTACTAGAGAACAAAACAACTATGATGATGTTGTCCTGGCCATAAAGAGAAGGTACCACCTCACTCCGGAGGCATACAGAATAAAGTTCAAAAAAGAACATAAGAAGACCAATGAAAGTTATGAAGAATTCGCTTGTCATTTACAAGATTATTTTTTGAAGTGGGTTGAGATACCCCAGGAGGCAGTAGAGATGCCTGAAGTCTCTAAAGGGCTCAATCTGGTCATGATTGACCAATTCTTAGAGAGAGTACCCGATGAAGTATTGAGGTTAAAACTAAGGGAGCTACAAGCCACATCTCTCATGGTAGTTGCGCGCAAGGCGGACGAATTAGTAATCCAGAGGGGGGCGAATGCGGGTAACACAACCCCAGGGAGTGATCCCTCCACTCCACGACGGACAGGTGCAGGCAGTAACCCCACGGGACGTAGATCCTTTAATGCTGCCTGCTACCGGTGTGGCCAGCTCGGGCACAGAATTGCCAACTGTCCGGTACCTCCGGGGGCCACAGGGTCGGGTTTCCAGGGAGGACCTCCACAGGGCTTTACTCGAGAACCGTCACCAAGGTGCAATTTCATTGCAAAGGATAGGGGTGATGCTACAATTGCAGATGTTGTTGTTCAGGGTCTAGATGACAGAGTGGTGAAGACCCAAGCCCTGCTGGACTCGGGTTCAGAGGTTTCCCTGGTCACTTTTGAATTGTGTAAGGAGTTAGGGGTAGAGGTTACTCGTGAAACTGAAGGGGTGTTAGGCATGATCAATGAAACCGCCTTAGTGCCTGATGGTTTAGCATCCCTGCAAG